CCGAGTGTATAGTTAGTTATAAGAATCGTTATTAATAATTGTATTTTGAATATGATTTCATGTGAGCGCCAAGTGTGAAAGAATAGAACGTAAACACGCGTATACGTTGAGATACTAGAGCGTACATATGAACGGAGAAAAGGGTCGAAGATTGACTTCGAATGGAGCTCGAGTGTGAGAGTTGAGCGCGACATCCTGGGGGATGTCTAAGTCGGATTGACGAGTACCGCGCGGCTAGTAAGATCCTACGTCGCCGGAGTAAAGAGTGCGAGTGTCGGTACGAGTCGATCCGAGTGCGCGAGAGAGAACCAGCGGATCCAACGGCCGAGCAGACCACAAGGACAACCAAGGGTGGATCTGGACCAGGAGAAGATCTCGACATCGTGTGGTGAGTCGGGCGGCCCAGCTTTTAGTCGTTGTATTTGTGAGCCGTATGCGCCGACGCGCCCACCAGGGCTACGATCGTCGCGTCTGCCGTCGACCGGGTATTCGGGTACTCTCTGAGGCCATGTATATTGTTTGTTTTATACGAATAAACCTGGTAGTTGTTATTGTTATATGGAGTGTTTGATTCTTAATGGGTGTGTGAGTGTACAGAGCTTTCCTTTCCCGTATTGCATGAAGCTTACAGGTAGACCCCGGACGTGCAGAACGGATCCACAGAGCCAAGGGACACACGTAACCGACGAGGTGCGTCGGAGTAAGATCATAGGTTACACTTGTTATTGGCGCATAATTTGATTGTTACTATCGGTATTTGTGGATCATTATCTAAAAAAATAATTAACTAAGTTAAATAACTAGTTTGACAAGCTATTATAAAAATCATAATCAATCAAAAAATGTTGCACTTGCGCCGATTTTTTTGTTCGAGATGCCGATTTATCTTTTTCGGAATACGTTCGTCCTCGGGTGTCAAAGATTTGTCATTGTTATAAGATGCATATTGCTGATTTGCTTTGGAATTTTTCACCCCACATCTTGTACTTTCTGGATTCGGAGTATTTTCTAAAAGGACGAGAAGCCTCATCAAGTTTGCTGCAATGTTTATAAGGGATTTTCGCAGATCAGATTTATCTTTAGTTCTAAAATAAAAGTACATAATTTATGAAAATTAAATTATGTTTTCACTATTATGTAACTAAAAGTTTTATACATACTTTGTTTTCGAAAATGTTAGAAACACTTCTTGTATTTTTTTGTACTCTCCCAATTCCTCGTGTGAAAGAAATCTTTCTTCTGTGTCATCTTCATCTAGGTGAATGTAATTTTTCATTATTTCGGTCTCATTGTTTTGAGGAGGTCGACACTCCATCCTGGCGAATCTAAAGAATACCAATGCTCGTGTTAGTAGAGAAAGTTTTAACGCTGAGAAGAACAGGATGATGAAACTGAAATTCTATGGCTCGACTACGAGTATAGAATTAGACAAGATTTGAAACTAAGTTTATGAAATGGCCCAATATGGTAAAAACACTCAAGATTAAAAAGATTATATCTTCAACCTTTCATTGATGAACGAACTGGGCCCACTGATCTAGCGTTCAAAATTGATAAAAAATATATGATACATTAAATACACGTGCATATGTCTTAATATGAATTTACAAGAGATAAAACGATTTTTTTCGCATATACAACATATTAAAATTCATCAAATATTAATACATATTAAAAAATGCTGGGATGTATAATAAATCGGAATTCATCTTAAAATTATAAGTGAAGGAATTTTCATAACGAGAGGGTAGAAAAAATTGGTCTTTGTGTAATTTGAGGTTACTTTTTTTGGAAAATACTTTTTTGCACGCATCGCATGGGTAAGATATGCCTTTATGCATGGAATCTTTGTGTAATTTGAGACCTATTTTTGATGTAAATACTTTTTCACACAAATCGCATCGGTGAACTATACCTTTATGTACTGATATAAATTAAGATTTGACCTCTGCAGTTGTCACTCTCCGGAGAATTGTAAATAAAGTTATGTTAGTATTAAGTTGCGCCGCTAGAGGGCGAGGTCGAAACCCGCAATAAAGAAAGATGAGTTGTAGGCTGATATAGCACCAAGAGGCCAGTGCGGCCATCTTGGTGCATACAATTTTCTGTAAATTCGGGTAGAAAAAAGGCACTGCACTGTTTATAATAGACGACGGTTTCTTTATTTTTATTCTTTTTTGGTCGCACAGTAATACACTGCTAGATCGCAGCTGACGCTGCAGCATGCGTCTCGTGTACGGCGTAGTCGCTCTCACAGATGAGAGTGGGGGTCGAGCTGATAAGCATGAAGTGTGCTCTGATATCAATCGCATGGCGCGTAATACAATTGTACTTAATAACTAACGCGATCACATTCACATGAGTCACAGAAAGCGGTGAACTCAACAACATAAAAATTACATAATAACAAACATAACGGAATAATAAATACATAAAACACAACATGACAAACGTAACGACTATTTTTTACGAATTTTTTACGAACGGAATAATAAATACATAAAACACAACATCATGGGTAAGATATGCCTTTATGCATGGAATCTTTATGTAGTTTGAGACCCTTTTTTGATTTATATCTTTTTTCACACAAATCGCATGGGTGAATTATTATACCTTTATGCACTGTATTGATATGACAAGTGAGATGACTTTTGTAGTTGAATGATTTTTGACATTCGTCACATTTGTAAAGTTTTCTATTACCCATGTGCACTACATTGATGTGGACCATTAGATGACCCTTTCGTGTGAATATTTTTTCACATACATCGCATGTGTAAGTGATGCCATTATGCATGGAATCTTTGTGTAATTTGTAGACCTATTTTTGATGTAAATACTTTTTCACACAAATCGCATCGGTGAACTATACCTTTATGTACTGATATAAATTAAGATTTGACCTCTGCAGTTGTCACTCTCCGGAGAATTGTAAATATAGTTATGTTAGTATTAAGTTGCGCCGCTAGAGGGCGAGGTCGAAACCCGCAATAAAGAAAGATGAGTTGTAGGCTGATATAGAGGTGTCTATCGATGTGGTGTTTGAGACTTTTTTTTGATTTATATATTTTTTCACACAAATCGCATCTGCCGGACACTCCATCCCAACTGCCGGAGGCTACTGACTGCGATACGGCAAATTGCATCGTGTCGCGGTATTCGGCCTCCATGAGTGCGGTGACAGCCTTGAATGACGCGAGCTGCGGTTTCATTAGTACCACAGCCCGCTCGACACTCGATAGGCGGGCCACCGACTACGCGTCTGCCGCGTGATGTTCGAACGCGAGTTGGGAGAGTATTGACCCGTACGTGATGGAATTGTACATAGTTTCGTCCGGAGAGGGCCGCGCTGTTACGGTCTACCCACGAGTGGCTCGCACAAACACGAGCACACTCGGAGAGTTCCTTGCCATCATTCGCTTGATGAAGTAGCGAAGCCCAGTACTTGCCAAAAAGCAGTGCACGAAGGTCGGAGAGATTTCGCATGTGACAAATGTGATAAGAAATTTGGGGATAAAAGCAATTTGAATAGACACCAAATGACAGTACATGAAGGTCGCAAAGATTATGAATGCAAAAATTGTGAAAAGAAATTTGGATGTCAAACGCATTTGCTCAAGCACCAAAAAATTGTACACGAGGGTTGCAAAGATTTTGCATGCAATAAGTGCGGAAAGACATTTGGGGATAAAGGCCAGTTGAACAGACACCAACAATCAGTGCACGAAGGTCGCAAAGATTTCGCATGTGACAAGTGTGATACGAAATTTACAAAAAAATCGAATTTGCTCATACATCGAAATATAGTTCACGATTGTCGTAAAGATTTCAAATGCGACAAGTGTGAGAAGAAATTTGGATACAAATCCCATTTGTCCTCTCATCAAAAGATAGTACACGAAGGTCGTAAAGATTACGAATGCAACAATTGCAAGAAGAAGTTTGGAAAAAAATCGTATTTGTTAAGGCACCAAAGAAGTGTCCACGATGGTCGCAAAGATTATGCATGTGACAAATGTGAAAAGAAATAGTCATGTAAACGTAATTTACTTTCGCACATAAAAATAATCCATGAGCATCGCAAATATTAATTATGTAACGATACCGGTAACAATTTTGGACAAAATGCTCATTTTTTAAAGCACCAAGTTACAGTCCACGAAGGTTACAAAGACTACGTTTACGACGAGTGATAGAAAAAATGTGGACAGTAACAGCAGTTGCTCATACACCACAGGAAAATACACGAAGTTTGCAAAGATTAAGCAAACGATAAATGCGAGAAAAAATAACGATTGACAATTGTAAATATGTATAGATAGTTATACATATGTTTTATTAAATTTTCAATAAAAATTGTGTAGAAATTATTATTGTGTCTTACGTGAACTTTACATGCCATCAACTTTCATTACACCTTTTTTCACTGTCATGGTGGTGTTTTTTTGTTCATATATGTTATCTACAGTCGTTCGAGCTCCGATCAGACGAGAATTTTTTCACGTTTTTATTTGGAACAGAATTTTTGACAATGATTTTGAATTTATCACACATACGCTAGTGAACAATTTTGAAGAACTTGCGGACGGACAATGATTATTTTTGCCATGAAAAAAGTGACTAGTAACAATGCGCTTTTATCAAAAAAAGGAAAACATTTAATACTTTTATTCAAACCAAAAAAATTTTTCTAAATTTCTTCAAAAGCTGTCATAATTGTTTTTTCCTTTTCTTAGTACTTTTATAGATCCAAAATCTTATATTGAAGCTCTTCGAATTGTTTAAGCGTAAATTAACGTTTACGTGGGGCAGCTCTATTTCTAATCCGCCACTGAGCACAAAATGCTACACGACATACATCGTATGAAATGCGCGACGCCGTTTGATCTCGCGCGCGTTAAATCGTAAATAAATCGATATTTCATATGTGTGTCTGAAGAAAAGAGAGGAAGGTTTCATACGAATGAAGTACTAATTTTTTTTTGTTAATACTCGTATTTTTATTAAAAATAGTCTCATAAAATAATATATTATTATATTAAGATCCCTAAAAGTGTGTCGTATTGATACAATACGGTTCTCGTATACGCTCTCTGCTCATTTTTTTTTCTTCGACTAAAAGTTATATATATATCATGTACATTATCGTTTCGTACTACATCGAGAGGCAATATATCTATATATCGTCGCTCGCATTCTCTCGCTTGGACGGCCACGATCGTACAATTAATTTTCAGATCTAATGAGTTTACTCGTCTGCGTCTTCTTTTTCATACTTTTTTTTTCTCTTTTTCTAATCGATCATCATCATTTATTATTATAGTTTCGAATATTTCATCGAAGGGGCACAAAGTATGCATTTATTTCTTTAATTATATGATATATACGCACTCGCGCTTTTTTTCTTCTTCGTCAGTTAACGATCGTTTTTAAAAACCTTAACGTTCTAAGAGTAGAAAAATATAATTGTAAACTCGTCTAAAACGTATATATTCAATACAATATGTTATTTACATTGTGGAAGGAAAAATAAAATCGTTTTTCTCTGCGCGGATTGCTGCTGTGTGTGTGTGGCGATGGAGATTGCTTTTGCTCTCTAAATACATGTCATTCGACTATTTGTAATTCTTCTCATTTTTCTATAAATATAAAATATTTCTTCTTCTTTTTTCTGTACCTTTCGTTCAAAAATAATATACATACTGTATTATTACATTCATTGTCGTTAAAATCGCGAAGCCTTTTTTTTTTATTATTTTCGCAAAGGTGGAAAAAGCGCCTCCTCGACCATAACGTCGTGCGTGTATAATCATAATTGCGTTATTACAAAAAAAAAAAAAACATGAAAAAAAATCAACACACCGTAACGCAGTAATAATAATCATAATAATAATAATAATAATAATAATAATGACAATAACGATCTCGGCAACAGAGTCGTCATGAGTAGAACGTCAAGACGGACGTGTGATTTCCTCGCACCAGCAGGAAGGGCGGCATGTCTCGGGTGAGGGCCTCGAGCCAGGCCATGTACAAGGGCGCCGAGACCGCACCCTTTCTCGGCATCGGTAGTGTCCTGCGCGACAAAAAAAAAAAACAAGGATGAAAATTAAAAGAAAATACCAGAAACGAGTCACGTTAAAAAATGAATTATATTAAACGAACATGACGATCAAGTTGGCCTCCATCGAGTGCTCGTGCAGCAGCTCGCGCAGGCGTAGGTGTCGATTGGTCTTCTCCTTCATGGCTATGCGCTCCGATTCCTTGATGATGTATTCTGCAGCGCGCGAAGAAAAAAAAAAGATCATAATAAATAGAAACGAGACTCTGCGGAAGATTTACGAGCAACGAACCTTCGTTGGCGTTCTCGGCGTTCTCGGCGTCTGGATTCGTCGACTGGAGAAACTCGGCCGTGAGCGTGTCGAAGAACTTCTGGGTCTGCGGCTGGGCCGGCCTCGATATGTCCGAGATGACCTTGAGGGCCGAGTAATCGATCCTGAACTTGGACAGCAGACTGGCCATGCTGCGCTGCTCGTACTCGAGCTCGGACTGGCGATTGGCCAGTGCGAAGACTCGAAGCCGACAGGCCGACCAGTGGCGGCGAGTGCTCATGATGTAGGGCAGCAGGAGGGTCAGGCCGCCGTCGTCGTACAGCCACCAGACGTCGATCGTGCCCTTCTTCTGCTTCTTGTGGAAGAAGCTCAGCTGGTTCAGGATGTCCTTGGTCAGTCCTTGCTGCTGCTGATTATTGGCCTCGACATTGGAGCTGACTGCTGCTGCTGCTGCTGCTCCACCACCCACGCCCGGAGCCGCCGAGGCTGCAGCCGCTGCCGTCGTACGATTCGCGGACGAGTTATTGGCGTTGTTGTTGGCGTTGGGCGACTCATTGATTATTTTGCTGGCGCCTCGGCGCGGCGTTGGACTGCCCGGCATCGAGACGTCCGAGACGCTGCTAGCTGGAGAGAGTATTAACATTACATATTATGAATGATGAATCGTTTATTCAGCTGGAGCGTGTAAGATCGGGGGGGGTGGCGAGAAATTCGATATATCATTTGTAAATATAGAAATACCTTGGCTCAATTGCGTGAAGCTCTGATTGGGTGGTAGTCTGGCGCGCGGCTTCTTCTGTCCGTCCTGATTGTCGTCCTCGATCATCGTCTCGTCGTGATCGCCCTCGCTTATCCGCAGCAGCGCCACGGCTATGTGCATGTCGAAGGCTTTGCTGTTGGGGGGAAACGATATACGAACACGATCGATAAGAAATGATCCAATAAAAAGAATTGATGTTAATTGCATCGACTCACTGCATCACGTTGAAGTACATGAGTAGATTCTCCCTGGGACAGGTGGCCCAGTCCTGCTTGTAGCCCATCAGCAGAATGTTGGGCCGCATCTTGCCGAGGCCGCAGGCCTGCATGAGCGAGGTGGCGCCGTCCTGGAAGCTCGTGCCGTCGATCACCGAGTAGAAGGCCTTGATCTTGTTGTCGCGGAGCCACTGGCTGGTGCGCGAGGCCAGCGACGACTTGGTCTTGTGCGCCAGCGCCGTCTCGATCACGTGGCCCGCCACCAGCAGGCTCTGATTCTTCGTTATGTGATGGGCGAAGTCGAGGAGGGACGAGCGCGAGCTCGGCTTGCCCGTGAGCACGAGTATCTGCGGCCGGTAATTCTTCACGTGCTCCTCGACGCGATCCAGATGCTGGACCGAGGTCAGGGCGTTGTTGTAGGTCTGCGCCTGGGTCGTCGAGCCCCAATTAACGTCTGCAGAGAGAGAAAGAAAAAAAACATTGTCACGCGACTTTGTCGTCGTTTGCGGAAATAATGATGATTATATATTGCTCGGCGCTTGCCTGGTTTTCTGTAAGACACGACGAGATAGAGGGCCAGCACCGTGGACAGCGTGATCAAGGCGGTCCACCAGGAAATCAGAAACATGACGGCGACGCAGAGAATCGAGCCGGCGAGACTCAGCCACATGTTGTAATACTGCGTTGTACATATATCGCAGGAAGAAAAAAAAACAACAGAAAAAAATGAGAAATAAATTAAGCGCACGCGAGAGAACGGGTCAACGAACTCGCGCGATAATAACAACAACAACAATCAACGAGCAAATAAAAAAAGAAAAAGAAGAAGAGCTCGTGAAAGAATTCGCTCGGAAATTGCGCAAGAGGAGAAAATTTTTGCTACCGAGGAATGTGTACATTATTACACGTACGCGCGCGAAGCAAAAAAAAAACTGCTGTTGCACACACATACCTTGAAAGTCGGACGCCAGCCGATGGGCTTGGTGAAGGAAGCGTGAAAAGTGCTAAAATTAACGAGTGTGTAGGCGGCTAGGAAGAAGTTGGATATCAGCGGGGCTATGGCGTTCAGTTCACCTGCAAAAACGATTCAACACACACAATCACTTTTGTTTTTCAAATTTGTTTTCTCTTCCAATCGAAACACTCACCGATGAGAATGAAACTAATGGCAATGACGAAGGTGAGCAGATAGCCGCGCACGGGCTCCTTGCCCTCGGCGCCGGAGAACCAGTGCAGGCCCGGATACAGCTTGTCCTTGCACAGGGCCTGGAAGACCTTGGGCGCGGAGACGAGCGAGGCCAGGGCCGACGACAGGGTGGCGGCGAAGCAGCCCGCGTAGATGAACGGCCCGAAGCCCGAGACGAGCTCGATCACCTGGAAGCTGTTCTGGCTGCCGTACCTGCAGCTCTGGCTGGCCTTGCAGGCGCTAAAGTCGACGCCGTAGCTAGTGAAATTTCTGGCCGATTCGACGAGGCTCAGATTGTTGTAACTGCTGTCGTTCCAAGCTGCCGCCTGCGTCGTCAGTAGATCGGCGACGTCGCCGCTGGCGTCGCGCAGCACACTGGCCCCGCTGATCACCGCTATGACGATGTACGAGATCGTCGTGATGAGTATGGCCAGCAGCGTGCCCTTGGGTATCGAGCTCTGCGGATCCTTGAGATCGCCCGAGATATTGGCCCCCGCCAGGATCCCAGTGGCCGCCGGGAAGAAGATGGCGAAGACCGAGAAGAAGCTGTGCTGCGTGCCCTCGCTCGCGCGATAATCCGAGCGCAGATTCTCGGCGAAGAGCTCCGCGTTGTAGCCGACGAAGCCGCGGGCGCGCTCGAGATCGCTCTTGGGGCCGATCAGGCTGCCGATCACGAAATCGGCGATCGCCACCAGCAGGATGACGAGCAGGCCGATCTGGGTCTTGGCCTCCCACTCCATGCCGACCATGACTATGAGCAGGAGGACGGCTATCGTTATGACGCCTGCAAAAAAAAAGATCGGTATTGGAATTTGCCGAGTGATTTTTTTTTTTGGTATTTTATATATACCGACCGATGACCCTTATGTCGCGACTGTCGCAGTCGAACATGCAGACGTCGTAGGCCTTGAGGCAGTCGACCATCGACTCGCAGAAGCCCACGACGTACATGGCGCAGGCTACGGCGTTGGCCAGCGAGAAGATCAGGCCGATCGAGCCGCCGAACTCCGGGCCCAGCGATCTCGATATCATGTAGTACGTTCCACCTGTATGCAATAATACGTTGCGTCATCGCAACGAAGCGATAATAATGGTAATTAATTCATGCGGGTGCTCGATATCCGTAATTACGAACGAATATAATTCGTGTCAATGTCGAGCGGGTGCGGGAGAGAGAGAGAATTTTTATCGCGCCATAGCTTTTCGCGCGCGCGGATAAATTTAGAATAACGCGCGTTGTATCGGAAAAACAGGATGCCCGCGTGAATTATTATATTGCAATTCGATTCGCGAGTATATATGCGCGTGATATATAAACGCGTAAAAGCGCCGAATGAATCATTGGGAAAAAAGTTGGAAAAGTTTTTTCTTCGCGCGAGCAAGAGTCTTTTATCTTTCGCGTGCTCGAGTAATAGCGCGCGCGCGTCTCGGGTGCAACGCGCATTATGAGCGAGAGAGAGAAAAAAAAAAACATTTTTATAAGAGAAGAACGAAGGAATTTTTATTCTTTTCTTTTAGCATTATCGTCGTATAGAATCGTGTGTCGGGTGCGTGTATATATGGTTGATTCTACCGAAGTCTGCCTTTTCGGGTATAGAAAATGAAAAGATGGTGAAAATTTTTTTTTCACATAGAACGGCGCGAACTAGTTTACCCTTTTTTAAACCGTAAAATATGAATAATCATTGAATCTGGGGCCATGTCAAATTTTATGCTTAAAATTGACTATGTTCGGTTACGGAGGTGACAAATCGCTACTTTGATCAACTAACATAAGTATGAAAAATACAATAGAATACTTTTCCGTACAACCCGAAATTCGGTCATGAAAAACGAGTCTTTTGACTGGGTGAGCAGTTAAAAAGAATGACCATAGCTCAAGATATTCATATCCACGGAGGGGACAGTTTTTTTGGAACACGTGAAGTTGGGTCGTAATACTTGACAGTTATGTACCTAGGGACATCAAAAATGAGTTAGCGACCCAAAGCAGGCATGATTAAAATACGAGACATTTTTCAATTGCTTGGGAAATTTTTTTAAAACATTTTTCAAGGTCCTATGATAGACTTAAACTTTACTTTGGATGTATAGAAGCTGGTCTCGTAGTTATTATAGGGCCAGGTGCATACAAGAATACATGGTATATGCAAATAGAGTTGATTTTGAGATCTAGATATGCCGCGGTGGTGACATTTGGCATGTACATCTTCGCGGCAAATTTAACAGGCACTAAAAAATTGACATATTTATGTCCAATCATGAAAAATACAACAATATTGAATGAACGACCAAGTCAGTTTTGGCTTATCTTCACTAGTTTAGGAACATGGCATGTAGAATTGCAAAAGGCAGACTTCGGGAGACTCAACCATATAGGCTACGACGCGTTTGGAGCTTCTCAGCTAATACGGAGCTCCCTCCGCCGATCGTCGGCGCGCAAATGATAACAAAACGTATACTGTATATATCGCGTCGCGCGTCGCGCGGCATCAAGAGCGAATATACGACGATGCACTGCACGGCAGCAGCCGCAGCAGCAGTAGTGCGCATATACTTACCTCCTTTTATAAGACCATTTGTACTTATTGCCGACATGGAAAGTGACGTAATGGTAGTTACTGCAGTTGTTGTCAAGATCAGTAGTATCGCCTCTCCTATTATTATTTTTTTTTTTTTTTCAATTATCAGCAGCAGCAGTAGCGGCCGTGGTAGCAGCAGTAGCGAAGAAAAAAAGCTCGAGTTTAATATCCATTTTCTCGTATATTTTCTTAGTTTTTTTTTTCACGAATAATTGAGAGAAAAAAAAAACTCGAAACGTACCGACACCCGTCTGCGCCACGACCCAGGACAGTCGCAGGAACAGCATCACGCCCCATATGTTGAGCAGGCATCGCACCAGCACGCCCTGGATCCAGCCGAATTTGATGCCGGTCGCGCCCACGCTCGAGTGCAGCTCGTTCTGTATGGCCTGGGCCGCGTTCGTGCTCTGGATATGAATGAAATATGATAAAAACCAATCGAATCGTCTCTCGGCTCAGTTTTGGCACGATCTTAGCGTACGTATTTATCAATTAGGGCAGGAGCAATTTTTCTCATTTTTGTCCGCCACATTAAGCAAAACCTACATGTACATCGTATATGTATGTAACGAGGAAGAAAAGAAAAAGGGCGACTGTTTACGCAACCGGCCAGGCGTGTACACACACTCGAGGCCTTGAAACCGAGGCACGAGCAGCTACTCGCAAGCTCGCCAAAGAAATCGACGTTTCGACGTCTCTAATTGGATTATTGTAGAAGACGCGAGAAAGAAAAAATATTGAGAAAGCTCGAAAGAGCTTTAACACATTATCGCGAGGGTAGGGGTAAAAAAAAAGAAAGAAAAGAGATTAACCTGTTGCGCGCCTCTCAGCAGCGCGAAAGCACACGTGTCGTTATCGATCTTAACTACGAAAACAAAAAAAAATAATACAATGGCAGCTGTACCTTATCGAGGGTCGGATTGTGCAGCTCGTCCAGCGAGGGCCTGTGCGCCGCCTGTATGCTGAGTATGTTGCGATAATTGTCCAGCCTCGGCAGCGCCTCCCTCGTCATGTTCCTCAGCGACTTGCGATGGAAGGTCTGCTGCTGCTGCTGCTCCGAGTCCTGCTGACCCAATAAACTGGCCCGACCCTCCATGCTGTCGACCCGATTGACGTGGAATCGGGTGCGTCTACCTGGGCCACCAGTGGCCGAGCTCCCGGTGCCCGTGAGAGCTCGCAGCTCCACCCGCTCGTCGGCCGCGTCGTCGTCGACGACGTTGTTGTCCTGCTCGTGGTTGACGTTCATCTTGCCGTTCTCGTACGTCATCGTGTATATGTGGCTCGTTATCACCTGCGCGTTGATCAACTTTTTATTATTACGAAATATAAACGCGAGCGAGAGAGATCTACGTCTATTGTGGCAGGTCTATCCGCGGGCAAAAAGAAACCGTGTGTATTACAATAAGAAACGCGAGCTCGTCGTCGTCGGCATACGTATGTGTGTATACACGTTTGTGCGCCTCTCCCGCTCCCCGCCTGCCCACCGAAAGCTTAAATTGCAATTGAGCTTAATGAAGCGTGGGCTTTTAGCTAGGCTTCGGCTCGTGGCTCGTCCAGACTTATGGAACTATTAAGAATCATCCGTGCGGACTTGCAATTATACCTCTTCGATGTTGCGTTGTGTATAGTATAAGAGACGCGACCCGCCTTTAACTATATATATACGTGCATTTATACACTTATATATCGGTAAACTGCTCTCTGCACACGTGACGAGCTTTTGTAAATGTGTGTGTGCACAATGTGGCTTGCCTGCCTCAGCTGCACATGGCTATATAAATTATAACGAGCGAGGCCGCGTCGCGGGACTACTACTACTACTACTACTACTGTTGTGGTAAAACGGCGGCGGCGGCGGACTTCTTATCTTCGCGAAGCGTGCGTTGCATTATTGCCGATCGTAATGTTATGCAGGTACACACACACACACACACGTACGCGCAAACTATAAAACGTTTATATCGCACACAGACAGACGGGCGAGTGGCTATAGCGAGAGTGGGAATACAACAATTGCCAAAGCTCGAAATAGCGAGTGCGAAATAAGAGAGAAGAAAGAAAAAATACACGTGATTTCTTTATACTTTTTCGAGCTATTTACCAACTCGGCTCTTTTTTTTTGTTTCGTTGCATCGCGCGTTATCGTATGCATGAATGTGCACACGATGCACATTATTACACGCGCATCGGCAAAAAAAAAAGGACGCGTGCACGCGGAGAAAGTACAATGGAATATTTCGTCTCTCGACCCACCCCCCCTTCGGGGCCACACGGGGGTGCAGTAGCAGCAGCTGTATATAAATCGTGCTGTATACGTACGATTCCATGTGCCGTACACACACATATATATATAGAGCCGCGTGGAGTAGTAGACAATGCACAAAACTTTTAACGCGAGAAAGACAGAGAGAGAGAGAACGAGCCAAGCTCTATATATATGTATATGCGCGGCGTGTGCGTGTGTATATATCATGGCCTTTTGCGCGATGCCGGCCCGACATAGAGAGAGTTCGTGTGCCGTTCAACCCCTCTCTATAAATATAAACGCGCTCTCGCACGCACGCACACGTATATATATGATATATGTATACGCACACACGAATTTGGAGTCTGCAAACATTAACGCGCGCACACACACGCACGACGTTGATCCTAAAAAGCTCGCATGGCAAGAGCGACGATGGCAAGTAAGAAGAACGCATTAACGTATACGAAGCGTATCACATTTTCTTTTTCCGCGACGTTATTGCCATTATCTCGCGTATCATTGTTCGCGCGGCCGAGTATACGCATGAAAAGGACTTACCTTGGGGCTTGTATTTTCCAAGGATTATTAATGTCTTCTTCTTCTCTTCTCTTCTTCTTTTTTTCTTGATATCACCCGCACACTCGATAATGACAATAATACACAAACACACAGTAGCAGCTTCCACTTTGCGATAATTTTTCGGAGCTTATTACCGTTTACCTACGATCAATGGTATTGCACATCGCGTTTATAAATGGTATAAAATAACAATGCTACACATCACTCGAATGCGTACGGCACACGATTAGCCGAGAAGGGAAGAGTACCAGCAGCAGCAGCAGCAACAGCAGTGGTAGTAGTAGTAGTAGGCGGAGGAGGAAGAGCGAGGAGAAATTTCGCACGTGGTTTTTCAGCAACGAAGCATGTGTACGTATTACGCGGTGCGCCCTGCGCACTCGACGCCACTTTTACTCTCGACAATCACGCTCTATTTTCTTCTACTACGGTGTGCTGCGAGGCGCGTTGCGTGCCTATCATCTTGTGTATTATATCGTCGCGTTTCGTAACGCGCACGGCCGAAATTCAAGTTGTACTTTTTTTTTTTGCTCCCCACACATCCGTGTATCACAAATTTATTTTATTTTATTTTATTTCTATCTATATCTATCTCTTTCTCTCTCTCTTCTGTCCCCCGGTATATATATTCCTTATCGATCGCTCTCGGCGACGAGACGAAAATGAAAAAAAAAGTAAAAATTTTTTCGTACGCCGGCTGGACACGGACCGACACAAAAAAACTTTGTCGAGTCTAATATATACGTTAAATCTAATATATACGTTTAAAAATATTTATACATATGCTCATTTCAATGTATATGATGATAATAATGAAATACACATGCTCGGGGTGCGAGCGCTCACGCGCGACTGCGGCCAGCAAACGGTTCGGCTCTCCAAAGGCCTGCGTGTGTATCAGCGTGTGTATAAGTAAGAGACAGACTCGGCACACACAAGCACACACATTTATACGCCTCGAGCCTAGTGAATATATGTATATCTGCACACACGACTCCCCGAAGTGAGCTTGTGCCGCTGCTGCTGCTGCTGCTGACTGGCGCCGCTTCTCCAACGTATATATGTATGTATGTAAAAAGTACGTATATAGATATACAATATCGCGTATCGCTGCGGACTTTTTCCATGTGCGTCTGCTTATTTGCTCTGTTTCTCTCTTCTCTCTTCGCTTTCTGCGCACGATGTGTATTTATGCATTACATATATATACACACGTAACGTTCGAGTGTGTGCTGGATGATACATACAAAGTATTTGGCTGGCGGGCAAAACGATCGAGTTAAATGTATATAATTTATACCGAGCCGAGTCCAGCCGCCGATGTCCAGTTTTTTGCGGCTTTTTTTCGTTCGGTCGTTTTTCTGAAAATTTTTCCTTTCTCGCCGCGCCGCCGCCTCGGCGCGCGATCTTTGTGCAAGGATAAGAAAGGGGGTGTTAAAAAGGAGCACGAGCTGTTTGTTGAACCCGTCTTCGCATAATATACTCATTTTGCGGATAAAGAACGAAAGAAAGAAAGAGCTTGACATTTTTTTATTCTCCTAAAAATATAAAATACAATATCGCGACATTTGTCCCGAGGTTTTTAATGTCACGATCGTCTTTCCGATTCTTTCGTATTCTTAATCAACGCAGCCACCTAATATCCGCGAAAATACTGTGTAGGCATTAATAATAAGATAGCCGCAGAGATCATCGGAAGAAAAAAATACGCGACGAGACGTTTCCGCGAAAGAATCGGCGCGCGCGAGCTTTTTTTATCTATCAACGCGCAGAAAGTATATATATAAATTTCTCTTCGCCTAATAATATCCTATGGCAAATATAGATTATTATTTTCTCCCCTTTCTCTTCTTTTCTTTCTCTCTCTTTTTTTTGTGTGTCATAGAGACAGAGATAGAGAAATGTGTGTTAGTAGTTAAGCTCGCAGCGCCTCGATAAGCACACGCACAAATATATACATATAATAAGACGCAATAAATTATATCGCGAGAAATATACCGCGCGACGAAAGCTCCCGAATTTTCAAATCTAATAAAAGTTTCTGTGTTTGTGTGTATATAGTGTGTTGATATATATCCATTACAATAGGCGTGTGTGCTTTCGCGCGCGATCGATTCGAGTTAGTGTGTCGGAGAATCGCGCGATAGGACAGGCGCGATATCCATCCATATACGTGTACGTATAAACACAGAGGCGAGCAGCGATGTCATGTGTATATTATCCAGTCAATTGATCGTCACGAGATGGCAATTAGGACTCGCGCGCGCGGGGACAATTGTCACGAGACTCGCGAGCTTTAAAACATCGCACGCTCTCTTCTTTTTTTTTTTTTTTTGGTTTTTTTATGTACTCTCTTTCCCTCGGTTCCACGCGAATAATTGTAAATACAAGCACGCCATCCTCTTTGTGCTCGACGCTTTTGGCTTTATTTAAGAAAGAGAAAAAAAAAGATGAAATTCGTGTACATAGGCCCGCGAAACCATTTTCGAGGGAGCTCGAGCGATAAGACGCGCGCGCGCGATCGCCGATAAGCGAAATTCGGTCAGTATTTGCGATTCGACCGCGCGAACGTATAAACTTGGAAGAAAAATAGAGAGAGAAAAAAAAACACGCGAGAGACGGTGCATCGCCGGCTGGAATCGTTTGCTGCTGCTGCTGCTGTTAGCTTTTTTCGAGATCGATCCAATCGATCGGCGATGCATCTTCTTCGAACCGGAAGTCTTTTGTACATAGTATAATATGCCAATGTGTGCCTAGCCTCGCGATCGGATCTCGGCATGTAAATTTCGCCTATCGAGTCCGTATTATAAATTCCGTCTCTTTCATTATATACGTTTATTATGCAACAGTTACCACGCGGATCATTGCTTTTTCGCGATTCTCGCTCGCTCGGTACGGCCGAAAATTTCGCGATAAGATAAAGGGCTAGTACAGAAGTCGCCCTCTCCGACCGCACACACATACGTACATGCAGATATACGACAGAGTCGAGTTTTGTAAGGCCTATTTTTGATCGCGCACAGGCCGAATTGTAATTCGTAAATTTCGCCTTGGACTAGTTAGCGAATCGAGCGGAAACTCAACTTTTTTTTTTCTCTCTCTCTCTCTCTCTCGCTCGCTCTGTCTTTCGGTCGATCCCCGTGAGTAGTACAGTAGTGCGCGCGCGATCGCGCCAAAAGCGTATACACAAAATTTTTTTTGTTTCTTCTTTTGCTTACGTACTTATATAGCGTGGCTTTTCAAACGGCTTTATAACGCGTTCGCGTTAACGCACGTGTGCGCGCGGCGGCGCGCGTTATCTAACGTTCCGCATCGGAAACGATTTTCCATTATAAAGTCCGCACGCGCGAGAAAAAGAAATAAAATTAAAATAAACAAAAAAATACGCTGAAACGGCGTTAAACGCTTCGCATTCGTCGAAACAGAAGAAAGAGAAGAAAAAAAAACGTCGCGCGCACATTCGCGCACGATCGCACAATATAATATGCATTCCGAAATGCTAAACCGCAGCTCGCGTAGTTTTTTTTTCAAGACGGCGGCGGCGCGTGCATATATATACGTCGAGTCGAGTCAGCGGTAAAAAACAACAAAAAAAAAAAAAAAAAAAGAACGAACGAAGAGAAGAAGTGAGGGAGAAAAAAATAACGTCGCATATTTCAAGCGCGTGATACGAAAAAAATGCCACAGCTGAGGCGTATACGATTAGCAAATAGTTTCGTTGCACATGTATCGAGCCGATCCTATATGGCGGTATTAAAAGCTCGTGCGTGCTTTTTCGATATTGATATCGATCGCGGGAAGAAGGGCAGCATATTTTCAGCTCTCCATAAATCCCCCATTGCGCGCACGTATTATATACAAGAGCGAGAGCTAAAATTGAAACGAATTGATGCATGTGGATCGAGAAATTAATATCGACGCGGCAGCGCTACACTCGATCGGCAGTTAAAATAGTGTTTATACTCGTGTTCGAGAGCCGCGTAACGCATACAGTGTACGCAGCGTTACGTTTTTAATTAAAACAAATAAATCGACTCTCGCGCACGCACCAGCTCTCTTTGGTCTTGGTTTTTTTTTTTTTTTTTTTATTATTACGACTGCAGATGATCGGTATTGCGCGTTAAGAGCGACCGATCGCGCACGGGCGCCGGCCGAGACGAGAGCTTTTTCCGCTATAGTTCGTGGAAAACCCCGACGCGTTTTATATTTTTCTTTATCTCTCCGTATAGTTTCGTGCAAAAGTTGAGTGCGGCCGAGATAAAAAAAATAAAATAAATAATACCGCAAAGAATGAACGTACTCGCTTCGAGTAATAATAATGCTCGTGTGCGCGAGAACGAAGAGTCTCGGAGTGCGTCGAGTACGAAGAAGAGATGGAAAAATAAAACAACGAGTACGGCGATGACACGCGCGCACATGGAAATTCTCTTGTCTCGTTTATGTATACGCAGTAGCAGCAATGACACTCGAACGAGAAGACCGATCGAGAAATTCGTTGATTCCTTCCAATTAAAACTCGACTCCTCGCGTAATTCGTATATAATGCGAGGTCTTCTCTTTTCCACCTTCCACGGAGCTGTGTAACATCATGCCCCGCGTCCATCTCTGTAATATTGCCAACTGCACTGCTGCTGCACCGCCCGACATGCGACGACAATGATCGTTTATCAAGTTCAACCCAAGTAAATAAGAGAGAATTAGTCGCGCGAGTCGCCGTTATGCGTATACGTACTTATACTCGTGTTCTTGCATATTATCGAGAGAGAGACTAGCGCATAACGTGCACATGTAAGTGGTGCAGCATAGTCTTCATGTACGTCGTTCGCTCGCTGCTAGACGAAGCTGTTTATTACATTTGGATTTGTGGATCTTGCGGTCGTTAACGAATGATTCACAAGGTCGACTCGTTATTTTATATGGTTCTCGTGTTTAATTTATTTGTTTTTTTTTTTTTTTACACTCTTGTTTGTTTGTTTTTTTATTTTTGTACATAACTAGCTTAATACAAAATTGTGTTATTAATTATTACTATCGTAATTAATCTTTTTTCTTCTATACATCGGTTAAATTCCGTTATGATCGATCGCGCGCGAGTAACACCGTGTGCACTTATTCGTTATTGTATTATAAATTATATAATTAAAACGTAAAAAATATTCAACTTTCTTTTTTTTTTTTCACTCTTATCTAATTGCAGATTGGTGCATGACAAGCCCAATGGCGAGTCGACGATCGAGCTTTTTTTGTGATGTTTGCGATAACTTAACTCTTACTTTTTACAAAAAATACAAAGGTAGCGGTATAAAATAAAATAGTCGTTTTTTTTCTCGTTTATACAATGCCGAGGCAGTGGGGGGTTGGGGATGTTTCTCTCTCTCTCTCTCCCTCCCATTAGTTGTCCGTGAGCGCGTTGAGCACGAGTTCGATGGCGGCCTGTACGTCGCCGTTGGTGACCTGAAGCGCCTGCAGATTGATGGCGTCGTCGTGCAGACCCATCTCGTTCATCAGCGTGATCTGCTGCTGGAGATTCTGGACCGACGACACGGATGAGGAAGCGAGGCTGTTGTCGCCGCCGTTCGACGAGTTGTTAGCGGTGGCAGCGGCGCCAGCAGTGGAACCGGACGACGCGAACGTCGGTGTCGTCGTCGATGTCGGCGTCGAGAGCGACGACGCAGCTGCTGCTGCTGCTGCTGCTGCCGGGGCAGCCAAGCCGACGTTGCTCAGCGCCGGCACCGAGGCGAAGGCGTTCTCGATCGCCTGGTTGAACATCTCGGCGGTGATGATGCCGCCGCCGTTGGTCTGCAGACCCGACGACGGGCCGGCGGTGGGGCCACTAGCACTGCTGGAGCCTCCTCCGGTCATGGACGACATCGCGGCCGCCGCGGCGGCGCTTCTGCGGGCTCGCGTGATCGCGTGCAGCACGTGGGCCGCGCTTATGGCCGGATAGGTGCGCGGACCGCCCGGCTGCTGCGCCTGTGGCGAGTCCGACGACTGCGACGAGTCGCCGGCCATCTCGTCGTCGTCGCTCAGGTTCTCCATGGTGCTCCATTGGCTGCTGCTGGCCGAGCTGCTGTTCATCGACAGGTGCCTCGACGAGGCCGCGAAGTTCTGGGCCTCCTCGTTGACCGCTTTCACGATGAGGTCGGCCGCTTTCACGAGGGCGGGATGCTCTTTGGCCAGGCTGAGATTGGAAAAAAAAAAATAAGAAAAAAAGATTGTAGCGTGAAATACACGTGGTTTTTGATTGACTTGAAATTACTGGACACTTTGATTGTTACCTTTCTGCTGTTTCAGGATCACCGAAATAAGTGACTAGATCTGGATCTTGTAGAATAGCGATTGCGACTGCGTCCTTTTGCAGGTCTGGCGTTTGAGCAATTATTTTATCGACGACTTCTGTTTTTTTTGCCATTCTCTGAATGAAGAGTGAAAACATTGATTACTATGTCAAAGAAATTCAAAAATATTAGAGGTATGAAAAATCTACTTACTCTAACAGCTATCTCAAGCAAAGGATTATTGACAAAAGAAGAAAATGCATTTTGTGCATTTCTCAAAGGTTTTTCTTCTTTTTTTTCTGGAGACAATGGCCTTTTGGCCATAACATGAATCATTGATCCATGTTTCAACCCATACGATTGCAATGTAGAATCATTTTTCAACAGTGAGCCGCAGTAAATGAGATCTGCATTTGAAAAAGTATTGTTAAATGAATCTCAAATTATGTTATGCAATAAAAATGATGAATAATTAATTACCAAAAGAGTCTTTGGCTACTGCAGCTCGCGTCGCAGTAGCTTCCCTTAATTTTTCGACTTTTGCTCCTAAATCTACATCGCTCAACGTCAACAGTGTCAACTTATCACTCAGGTCCAGACGAACACCAAGAAGTAAATTGGCTGTCATTTTTCTAAAATAAACAAAATGAAATTAATTGAAATAAAATTTAACAAGGTCATTGCTATCATTGTGTGTGGATGAACAAAAACAAAGCTTAACCATCAACCAATTATTTTCCTTCAGTTTGAGCAACTCATGAAAATAAACATGTGGTTAAAGGTAGCAGGATAACCTATATGAATGAGAGAGCACGTGAAAATTCTATACACACCTTTGTTTAACGGGGGTAGGCATATGACGCTTAATAAATCAGCCTTGAACTGACAAAGCTTTCGGACTTTGTGCACGACGAGACCTCTGCAAAAACTATCCAACGAAATCGCGCTGTCCGCGAATAGCGCCAACGAATAATGACTCGATGATATTATCGACGATTCCAGAACTGCGTGCGGATTTTCCTCGTTAGCCTCTCGCGAGGATTTTCCAAGAGCGAAGAAAAGCCTTTGTCGAACGTGATTCTCGAAATACACGCTGCGTGTGTGCGCCTGAGAGATCGTGCCAAAACAGTGACGGTACGTTGTGTGTGTATGAAACGTCGAAGACTCTGAAGTATAGCAGCTCTGTAGCAGACAACAAAATACTGAACTCGGCGATCGCAGCGCGTCGAAGCTCGGACGGCAGCACTAGTCAACACTCGACACTGTAGCAGTTCTCGAACGAGCCAAGTCAATGTTTAAAACCCCTAGTGACCCCAGCGGTCCGACACTGGGGTGCCCACGCACACCTACAAAACTCCATATAGATATATCTCGCGAATTCTCAGCGAATCTTTGATGAATGAAAATCGTGGAGGGGAGCTCTCTTACGATACACTTGTGTCGATGTGTGTGTCGGCTTATTTTGGATGTGTGCCTGCGCGACTATACGTCGCCTGATGCTCAGCTGCGCGAATTTATGTTGTTGTCTGCACACGATTCTGCCTGGCAGTCCGTGGTGAGCGGCTCGGTGTGGCCTACTACCTGCCTTGCAGAATAAGAGCGTATACAAAAAAAAGTCCCATCGTCGTCGTACATTCGTTCGCATCGGACGCTCACGCACACACACGCCTATATAATCGCAGGTGTGTATCGATCACGCACGCAACGAAAAAAAAAAAAAGAAAAAAAAAATTAGCATTCGCTATTGTTGGTGCTGCGTCGTCGCTACACGACGAGTGTTTTCTCTCTCTCTCTTTATCTATACATCGTTTATATCGTTACGTGAGTGTATTTACGAGCAGTTTCTGTTTTGCGTAATAACATTGTAATAATTCGCTGGGATAAAGCTTTGTACTTTTGGCAAACGTCCGCGTAATTTCGCAATGCCGAGATAGGTGTTAAGTGTGTCCTATATATGTGTGCCTCTGGTCCATCGGTTATATATATATGTCGTGCACACACGCGCGACCCGCGGAATGTGCGTTGTTTTTATAACTGTCAGTTTCACGGACGCATCCGCGATCGTGCAGTTATTCGAGCTTTGGCGAGCTCCTACAACTACTCCAAGCCAGAGCCGCTCGTTATTACATACACCGTTTTAGTTTTATTTAAACTTTTTTCTCGCTCAGCGCCGACTGACTTCGTGTCTGTTTGCCGTGTTACAGGTTTATTTTTCTCTCTCACGAGTTAAGCGTCGTCTTATCGGTCTCGAGTCCCGATCGAGAGATAAATCCAAGAAAGAGTCTCGAGTGCCCCCCGAGTGAAGCTTCTTCATATCGTATACGCGTACAGGGTCGACTCGTGAATCTCGAGAGACGCGACTAAGCATGCCGAACAAGTATCAGAAGTTCGAAATCAACCGGACGGAATGGGAGGTACCGGACAGGTACGAGATGCTCCGACCTGTTGGGTCTGGCGCCTACGGACAAGTTTGGTGAGCCATTGTCATTTACTTAATCTTTTAATTTGCTCTGCTGCTCTGGTAATATTTCCTTCAATTCTTAAAATACAGAAAATTTAAAGGTGAAACGATTGCATTCGATTTCCACTTTATTTTAATTTTTATTAATTTTATTATTGTTAATTGTTGATCATTATCATTGTTAATTGTGTTTTCAGCTCCGCCTTTGATAAATTGTATCGCAGGAAAGTAGCAATTAAAAAGCTGGCCAGACCATTCCAGTCTGATATTCATGCCAAGCGAACTTTTAGAGAACTGCGCTTGCTACGTCACATGCACCATGAGAATGTAGGTTGAAATATTGCCTAATAAATTTGATCTTTGAATTAATTATTCCTTTTATTTCTAGGTCATTGGATTACTAGATGTTTATAGTCCATGTACATCTATGCAAGATTTTGAAAATGTGTATGTTTTGAACGATCTGAAAGACATGTACTGAAAAATTTAATATGTCAATGACTTACAAATCAATTAATTATTTTTCAGATATCTAGTAACTCATTTAATGGGAGCTGACTTGAACAATATTGTTAAAACTCAAAAGCTGTCAGATGATCATGTTCAATTTTTAGTTTATCAAATTCTCAGAGGACTCAAGTACATTCATTCTGCTGGAATTATCCATAGAGTATATAAAGCTATACTTTTAATAATAAAAACACGTGTAGACGAATCAAGTTGAATTTAACTATTTTTTTTAGGACCTCAAACCATCAAACATAGCTGTGAATGAAGATTGCGAGCTCAGAATTCTTGATTTTGGCTTAGCTAGACCAGCAGAAAATGAAATGACTGGTTATGTAGCAACTAGGTGGTACAGAGCTCCTGAAATTATGCTCAACTGGATGCATTATAATCAAACTGGTATTTATTTTAAACTACAATAGGTATAAAATAAGATTCAATTTGACTTAATATGATACATTTTTATTCCAGTTGATATCTGGTCAGTTGGATGCATAATGGCAGAGTTATTAACTGGCAGAACTCTATTTCCTGGAGTTGATCGTATCCTTAATATTTCAATCATAACTTTATGTATAATAATGACTTGAATGTTTTTGTTTTTACAAAGTGTAAGATCATTGCTTCATGCTACTAACATATTTAACTACAGTTGCTATTTGCTAAGGGTTAACAAGCAGATGAGGTGTACGAGTCTAGTTTTTACTTTTTTACGTTTATGCTCATTTCAAGTGCCTTGCACCCATAAATTGTATTAGCTGACTAAAAGTAATATTTTCATAAAAAATTATTCTGAAAATTTATAAAAAAGAAAAAAAATTCGAAAAAACCTTAGCAAAAGCAGATATTCATCAATTAAATCTCATTATGGATCTCCTTGGAACTCCTAGAGAAAAGTTCATGAAAAAAATATCTTCTGAATCAGTAAGTATGAGAATAATATTAAACCTAAATAAAAGTAAAACCCATGATGTAAAATCAGTAGATAATCTATCATTATTTTGAGCTATTGCTTGATTTATTTTAGAACTAGTATTTGAACATTTTCTATTATTATACTTTACAAAGGTTTGTTAGATATTAATTAATTATGTATTTAAAATTGAATATGCGGGATCAATTTTATTTTTATCTTATTGGAAAATTTATTTTTCATCATGTGCTGAGCTGCTTCTTGTAGAACCATTTTTTTAAATTTCAATTATGTTGCTTTAATAATAAACCTTAACTAAAATTTGGCAGACATTGACCATCTAACAAGAGTATTAATACTCTGTGGTACACCTTCAGCAGAAACTATTAAAAAAATTACAAGTAAAGAGGTAATGAGAAATCGGAAAGGTTGTGACTAACATTGCATGTTTTCTAGGCTTTTTTTTGCATGAGTAGAGTTTGGGTGCTTTAATGTAACATCTGTTGACAGTATAATAGAAAAAATATTATTTTTAGATGAAATTCCTACTAGGCAATCAATCGAAAAATGTACTCGGCCTTTATAATTAAATTTTAGCTAATATTTTCTAACACCGTTTGAGTGATATATTGTATTAACCATTTTAAAAAATTACGTGTATTTTTTATACGGAATTCGGCATCATTAAAAAATCTGCGTATATTTTTAAATCACTATCGTTTAAACTTTTTTTTTCAGGCAAAAAGTTATATTGAAAGTTTGCCTCCAATGAAGAGAAAAGATTTCAAACAAGTTTTTCAAGGAGCTAATCCACTAGGTATGCGAGAATTTTTTCTTCGCGTTCATTGTATTTCATCGTCGTTAAAGACATCTAAAATGCAAATTATTCTTCTCTTGACACAGCGATCGATCTTTTACAATTGATGTTGGAATTGGATCCCGAGCAAAGAATCACTGCAGAGGTTGCTCTGAGCCACGCTTACTTTGCTCAATATTCGGATCCATCCGATGAGCCTGTCTCGTCGCCTTACGATCACGGCTTCGAAGATATGGATCTACCTGTACAGAAATGGAAAGGTCAATATTTCATCTTGATTTGTACAAATATTTTAACACAATTTCAATATAATTTTTATCTTTCTAGAACTCATTTTTCACGAGATCATAAACTTCGTGCCACAAGGTGAATTGTATACATCACAAGATATAAGTTAAGATTGGAAATTTTTTAGCAGAATGTCTACATACATTATAGTTGATGTTATTAATGCTATGTAACCACAAATATGGAGTTATTAATTCCATAATCAAAAACACGTCGTTTTAATTGTACATAATATGATGTTATTTTTAATGTTTCCGTTTTAATTAATGTAATGTAATTACCGAATTTGTACATTTTAAGGAAAAAAATATTTTTTTACACGCGAATAGATTTTTCATTGTAAATTACATGTATTGGAAGTATTTGTTTTGATGATAATGTACTATAAAGATAATTTTATATGTATTTATGAGTCTTAATCTTTTCTTTTAATCTTGTCTCTCGCTATAAAAAAAACCTCATTTGATTATTTTTTACAAAAAGTAATAAATGTTGCAAATATTTTTATTCAAAATGTATTTTTCCGATTTTCTAAAACTCAAAATGCTTCAAGAAATTTCAACTTGTTCTTGTATTATACATTTCAAGATCGACAGCGCCTCTACAATTTAAATTCGGTGTTCTCCTAAAAATGAAGGTAACTCGAATGAGCTGGTTTTCTTAATTCTCATGAACAATATTGAAATTGTAGAGTTCCCGAAGATTATGAATCGACGATAAACAAATTCTCTTTCAAATAATGTCACAATTTTGGTGAAAATCAACGACTTTTAAATTCAATTTTTCCCACTATGACAAGAGCACTGATCTGAATTTGCGAACGTCGAGTTTAGTCAATAGGTATCGAGGGATTCACGTTTTTATTAGGAACAAAAGCCAAAGCTACTTCATCTGTTTCATCGAGTGTTTTTTACTTTCATTTATTTATTCTTATTTGTCTGACAATGAATCGAGAAATCGTTCATTACTCTCAAATCATATAACATATAATTATTAGATACTTTAAACATAACAAATTATTTAGAATATATTTAGCTGCGGACAAGTATAATATGAATAAAAAAAAATTTCGAATTGAAATATTACCGGTCTTGATAAAAACACTGATCTGAATAAGCTTTGAGGTTGGTATTATGGCTTGAATTCTCAAAATCTCATTTACCGCCTTGCTGAAGCGCTGTGAACACTATAGGATTTACCTATTTTTCCTGAAGTCCAGTGCCCACATTTTTCGTCAACACTCAACCCTGCTGTATTTTCAAGTTTTTAACTTCGCACTCATTATTAGTCAGCGCGATCATCATGAAATCCGGAATAATTTCTCAATTAAATCATGGCAAATCGATGAGTCGATTGTAAAACCTAGTATTGAGAACAAAGAAAAACTATTTGAACTAAGATATCCACAGTTCAGATGTTTGAATGAAAACTAATGTACCTTGAAAATGATTGTTTGTGTCGAAGATCAATTTATTCATTTTGTTATTCAAGCGTGCTTAAACTCGAAAAATATTGATTTATCACAGATAAATGATACAGGTAGTCACTTACAAAATTAAGTGAAAAAAAACTAATTTCATGTAAAAAAATGTGTGATGATAATCATTATCTTAAAATTTTCCCCAGCATATTTTTATCCCCACAAAAAAAAATTTTCGGTCCACAAATCGACCTTTGAACTTATAGAACTCATTAAAAATTTAATTGATTGACTAGGGGTGGAAAAGAAATAAATTGTATATATAAATTAATGCATATGGAAGCTTGCCCTTTAATTTGATATTTCAAAAATGTTGTATCTTTATTTGTTATTAAATAAATTAAAAAACGAACAAAGCCCTTGCGCAAGGAAGGATTTACAAATTTATAAATCAGTCTTCTTCATAAATACGTCAGATCTTACATAACAGTTTTTAATACAAGTTAACTTAATTTTTTTACATTAATGAGATCATATAATGAGTCAGTGATGCGCCATATCGATGTGCATTTTGTTGTATGTATTGTAATGAGCCGTGTCGCCGCTAGGTGGCACGGAGTAAAAGTACAGTTCACGCAAGTAAGATTGTTAAGTCTGGGCGTTATATAGACCCGAGAAAGACTTACCCTGAGTCACATGAATGCATCACGTTAACGCCATGATGAACTCTGTGGTGGAAAGGCATAACTTAAGTCCATTTTTCGTGTTTTCGAGAAAAACGCGTTTTAAGTTGATTGTGCCAGCCTAACTAGACGCGGACGAGTTGAGGTCTGAACCTATGATGTTTTAAGCTACTATGAGGTATCTTTTGACCTATGTACTTATGAAATTGAAAGGCGCATCATAGCGATGATACGGAGCAAAAAATATGGACTTAAGTCGTTTTGCCTTTCCACGCTTTGCACTTTAAGTCCACTTTTGGCAGTCACACTTTTTTCAGTATCGATAATTTCGCGCAGTTTGTGATCATAACCTTATTTAATGATTTTATATTGATAAAATAGCTAATTTAACGTTATACTAGTGTCAGATCTCAAGTCTTACAACGAAAAAAGGCCAAACTGAAAATCGCGAAAATGACCCCTCGCGTATTAAATGTACCAATTGTATAGTGAAATTCACAACATTCGAAGAATGTGAGAGCTATTTATATGTTTGAATATCATTTTCTTTCATTTTCAAATCAAAGTAGACTCTCTATAAGATTTTGGAGCTCACAAAGGTGGACTTAAGTCGTTTTACCTTCCCACAGTTTTCACGAAATGGACTTAAGTCGTTATGCACAATGCTGAAACTAACGATAGAAGCTAAATTCGTCTATTCTGACCTTTGTACCTTAAAGTAGACACTAAATATAGGTGTTTTTCATCATAATATCGATTTCCAAAAAAATGGACTTAAGTCGTTATGCCTTTCCACCACAGAACTGAATTGACGTGGCTTTTGAGATTATGTCTTTGTGAAAATGACTTAATTCCACACTCATTACATGCATGTCTTATACCTTTATGTCTCGTGTCGATGTGGAATTTGAGATTAATTTTTGATGTAAATCTATTGTTGCATATATCACATTCATATGTAACACCATTGTGCACTGAATCAATATGGATTTTGAGATAATACTTCCGTGTGAATAATTTTCTGCATATACCACATGCAGGCCTAATACGACTATTTCCTGCATCAATGGGCATTTCGAGTCTTTTTTTATAGTTTGAATTTTTTTTATCTTTTCTTGTATAATTGTTTTGCTCATCGAGTTCACGATCGGAATTCGAATTTACTTCTTCTTTAACTTTGCATACAGTCTCTATTATAATACTAGTTTCAGGTTTGTAATCAACGCTGAAATTCATATTCTGCAAGTTATTTTGAGAATAATCGTTAATTTTCTCAAGTAATAAATCCTGGTTCGGCTTTAAGTTTTTACATTCAAAAACGATTTCCATGTCTTCCTGAGATTCAGGAATTTCGTCATATTCTTGTTTAATACTTTGGATCTGGAATAAAATCAAAGTTGAATCAATATTTTGGTTAAAAATTTTGATAATAAAGTCCCACATAATTATGAACTCTTACTAGATTTTCATGCATAAGTTGGGGAAATTCAGTTTGATAATCTTCATTATCACCGAGCGACACATCACTTGGCTCCTGTTTTCTTCTGAAATTAGTTTGATAAGAATCGAGTGTTAAGCCAAGATATTTTTATAATTTAACTCTTAAAAATTGAATTCACCTTAGGGCACAGTTGAAAGTATCACCCGATTCCATCTTATTCGTTCCAGACTTTGTTTGCGACTAAGCTCTAATTCTCTGCTTATATTCAACATCAAACTAACAAACTCAAATTCAATAATATTTACGAATTTTAATGTGAAAACCAATCTTGAATAAACCAATTGAAGCAGAGAAATAATCATTCGTGATATATTATTGAAGAAATCTGAAAAGGGGTATTTTGATTTTGTATCGCGTAGAAAAGTATGACAACTTTCGTACACGTTACAGAAAGTGCGAGTAAGGCAACTGGGAAGCGACCATAAATATAAACTTGAACTACAATGTGTTATAAAATAAAAATAACTTATAATTTTTAAAATTTTAGATATTAACGATTTTTCGCCGTGACAGAAAAAGTCTTCTTTTGCCTTTCATAAGAGCTTCGTCCTGTCTTATACGCGATTAAACTCGCGTTATCCTTCGTATCATTTTTTGTCCGTATACAAAATTCAAGACTTGTCCAATTATGCATTCCAATCCAAGTACAAGATATCTTGTACCTCGTCCTAAATTTGAAAAGCCCTACTTAAATCACAAATTCCAAACGGTTCTTATCCACGAAAAGCATATACAAACAGTCTATACGCAACCCGCGTCCAGTTGATTAATGTGTTGATTACAAATTTTCAATAATTTTTAATATATAACGCAACTTTCGATGATCTCTGTTTGATAATTAATGATGCAAAGTCGTTTTATTCGAGCTTTGATTAGTAGTCAGTTGCATTGCAGAAGTGTACATAGAATTGAGCGAATAATTAGCATAGAACTATAAATGAGGATATGTTTATGAAGCTCGTTCGAGTGCACTGAATTGATTTGTCTCATACTCGTGCGTATTTTGTTGAAATCAAGTGTAGTCTTGAAAATTGTCTTTTTGAAATTTTTTGAAGTACAGCTCTCGAAACCACAAAACTTGATATGATATTAAAGTCGATAACAAGTAGAATCGTTTTTAAATGTAACAATATTTTTAATTGCAAGATGTTTTTACTTTTACTTACAAAGTGTCTGGTGAATATAACGTAACATTGCAGTCAATTACAAATTAATAAATCAGTCTTCTTAATAAATAAATCAGATCGATTTGATACAAGTTAACTTAAATTTTTACATTTATTAGATCATTATAAGTCAGTGATGCGCCACATCGATGTGCATTTTAAGATTGTTCTTTCGTGCAAACGACTTTCCGCAAATGTTACATGTATGTAAAATGTTATTATGTACTTTATCTATGTGCCTTTTGAGATCAATTTTGTTTGTGAATTCCTTTTCACACGTTTTGCATGCATGTGTGACACCATTGTGCACTGAATCGATGTGTCTTTTCAGACTATATTTGGCTGTAAATTTATTGCCGCAAATATCACATTCATATACAACATTATTGTGCACCGTCATGATGTGCATCTTGAGATAGTTTTTATTTGAGGATGACTTTCCGCATGTATCACACGCGTAAGTGATACCATTATGTAGCGAATCGATGTGCTTCTTGAGATTACTTTTGTCTGAGAATGCCTTTTGGCAAATATCACATGCATGAGTGACTCTATTGTGTACTGAATCGATATGGATTTTGAGACTGTCTTTTACAGTGAATGACTTTCCGCATGTATCACACGCGTGAGTGATATCATTGTGCACCGAGTCGATGTGTTTTTTAAGATTACTTTTGTGTGAGAATTTCTTTTCACATGTATTGCATGCATGTTTGACTTTATTGTGCACTGAATCGATGTGGTTTTTGAGATTACCTTTTAGGGTAAATGACTTTCCACATAAGTCACATGAATGCATCGCATTAACGCCATGGTGCACTGAATCGACGTGGCTTTTGAGGTGCTGCTTTCGCGTATATTTCTCCTCACATATATTACATGCATGCGTGATTTTTTTATGAACCGATTCGACGTGGATTTTGAGATTATCTTTTCTTGCGAATTTCTTTCCGCAAATGTCACATTCATGTTTGACTTTATTGTGCACTGAATCAATATGGATTTTGAGAATATCTTTAGTTGAGAATTTTTTTTGCATATATCACATGCATGCGTGATTTTATTATGAAGTGATTCGAGTTTTGAGACTACTTTTTTTTGTAAATGACTTTTCACACTTATTACATGCATGTCTTATACCCTTATGTTTCACGCCGTTGTGGAGATTGAGACTACTTTTTGTTGTAAATTTCAATCCACATATATCACAAGAAATATTACTATTCACATTATCGATGGATGTTTTGAGTCTATGTTTGTAGATTGATTTTTGTTCAACTCGTCTTTTTTCATTTTGCTCGCTGAGTTCAAAGTTGAAATTAAGATTTAATTCTTTTTCGTTGTTGTGGAATAGTTCTTTTTTCACTTCTTCTGTAGCTTCTTCTTTGATTGTGTCGATAATCTCTGAATTATTGTGCGAATAATTCTCTATTTTCCTAACTGCTAATAAACCCGTGTCAAGCTTTACGTCTCTACACTCGAAAATTATTTTCAGGCCTTCCTGAGGTTCGGCCATTTCGTCATATTCTTGAAGCCTTTTGATCTAAAATAAAAGTAAAGTCGTATCAAAAATTTTGATTGGATATGTTTACCAGGATGGTCGGAAATAAATTATTTAAGCTCACATTCTTAATATCAAGTGTCCTATCAATTAATTCGTAATTATTTTCAGTAAACGACACATCGTTTGGTTCTTGTTTTACTCTAAAATGAATGAAATAAGATTAAAAATGTGTTTGAACTAATTTTAAAAGTTTGTTTTAAAAAAAGAAAATTTACCTGACGGCACAGTTGAAAATATCGCTCGAGTCCATCTTGCTAATTTGGGATGTCGTTTGCCATTGATCACTCTACTAACGTTCGGCATCAAACTAACTTAAATACAATAATATTTACGAATTAAATCTGAAAACGGATCTCAATCGACCTAATTTAAATCTAACATCGTATAAATTACTAGTGGCAACGTTCGTTGCATAAAGCTGAGCGACGTTCGTTTAAAATTTGTTTGTTTTTGAAATTTTGCTGATTGATTGTACACTGAAAATTGGCTCAACATGTATAATACATTACAGTCGTATACGAGACAACTTTTCCATTATATTCTATAGGCCGCTAGTAAACAGTCCGCATTCCATGTATGCGAAAATTCGGTGAATATATATGAGACATTACACTACAAATTTTCAAATCTAATAATCGCACGGAGATATCAGTTCCTACTGTTTTACATACAACTCTAGTGTGCATCATTCGAATATTGCACACGAATGCTGATGCTACTGCATCATAATTGCATATAAAATATTAAATCTAAAAAATGCATAAGGGTGCATAAAGGGCATACCAAAACCTAATCAGTAACACATTTACGTCCCCCCTACATACCCAAAAAATTTCAGCCCGATCCATTGAATACTATTCCAGTTATCGTGTCAGGGCGAACACACGAAAATTAGGCAAACTGGCCATGAAACGACTTCGCTGCGCTCAGCTTTAATTATACATCATTTAAGAAATTACTCAATTGATTTTCCCAATGAACAATCATCATTTTTTTGTTAATGACATTTTAATAAATGAATCTAAAGCATGCGCAAGCACCTTGAGAGTTGCATCAATTTCTCTTTTTATAAATTTCTTTCTCAGACAAAGCCATCAACAGCATCTTCAAGAAGCCTGAGAGTCTGTTTACGCGAGTCCGCGTCCGGGACGTGCTGTTCGACGGGCTGCCGATCGACTGCAACGTCACCGACACCGCAGGCACCGCCGTCTGCAATCAGATACAAAAAAGTCACGACGAGTACAACATGAGACGCCTGTCCGACACGATGTTTTCCTTCTCGATTTTCGGCTCGGTACATCACACGAGTTCGGATTGTTCATCTCCTCTATGCACTGGCAAAAATCACTCATCACGTATTGTTCGCCGCAGATGAACGCGACCGACAGCAGACAGCGCAGTCGGGTCTATCGAGGCCTCAGAAACATCCAGGACGTCGGCCGAGTCACGGAGTACGCGGGAAAGCGCGACATCGGCGTCCGGGGCGACGGCTACTGCGATCGATTTCGCGGCACCGACGGCACCGTCTTCCCCCCTTACTACGACCCTCGGGGCCGCAACTCCGTCTTCGTCTACGTGCCGAGCTTCTGCCGCGAGGTGAACATCATCTACGAGGCCCCGAGCAAGTTGAAGGGCATCGAGACCCCGAGGTACAGGACGGGAGTGGGGCCCGATTGGCGCCAGGATCCGAGAGCCAAGTGCTACTCGTGCAGCTGAACATGTTTCTGCGGCCGGTGCAGAAGATCAAGTTGGCGAAAAATTTTCCGGAGGCTCTGCTGCCTCTTTTCTGGCTGGATGAGCACATCATCGTGCCCAAGTGGCTGAGGCGCGAGCTGCGCATGACCCACTTTGCCTTGAAATCGGTCAAGTGAGTCAATTATGAGAATCAATAGTCATTACTTTGTACGAGACGTAACAATGTATACGAGATTAAAAAATCGTTTTTTCTCATTCCTGCAGAGTCATCGTACATTTGATGATAGTCGGTGGTTTGGGCTTGTTCGCTTACACCTTTTACAAGGATTACCGGACGACGAAGTTCAGCGCGAAAAAAGTCACGTCGACAACGAGCAGTCAAAAGCGTTCTCCGATGGAGGTAAAGACGATGTTCGAATCTGATCAGGAAAAGACGCAAGAACTAGCGGTAAGCTTGCAGAAGCCAACCTTCGTAATACCGACGCCAATGAAGTGAGGATCTGTGTATTTTTTTCACCTTCGGCAATTATTATTCGTGACATTATTCGTGCCTATTTCCGACAATTATGACATAAAATTATTTATTGTTTTGGATTGAATAAATTAAATTTAATAATTATGATTACGTTGATTAAGATTCCATTTCAAATTGAAAGTAATTTGGAATGAACATTTTTTATTACAAAATTTGTTGAAATGTAATTTGTAATTCTGTAATTAAAAATTAAGCAACACTGCTGCACATAAATACTCCGACGATGCCTTTAATATGTAACTTATTTTGTACGATTCAACAAAAATAAAAATGCTTTCATTCTAATTCAATTAAATTTTTATGAGAAAAATTGGGAAAGTCAATGTGTCATTTAGGATTTTTAAATAATTTAAATAATTGAATAATTGAAAGCAAAATATTGTGTATTTTTATGAACTTGGAGAGAAAGACAAAGAGAGAGATCAATATACGAATACAAAGCGAACAAACGCGAAGTCAGATATACATTGAGATAGATTTAAAACAATCAATATGGTTTTCTTCTGTTCAAAATTTATTGATTTGTAAAAACTAGGAAATTAATTTTTCTGTAGTAATACATTTGGAGAAGTACGATGCGAAATATTGAATGACAATTTTTTCATTAATATTTTTAAAAAATATACCAGATCCCACATGGCAGTTTTGATGCAAGTGAACATAAGTCAGCGATGAGCCACTGGTTACGTTTCACACCACTAGGTGGCGCCTGCCTGCGAGTGTCGCTCCCATAAGCGACCGAGCGCTGGTAAGCGTATAAAATGATGTCATTTTGCTCGCTGAGTTCACAATTGAAATTGAGGTTTAATTCTTTTTCGTTGTTGTGGAAAAGTTCTTTTTTCACTAACTCTGTAGTTTCTTCTTTGATTGTGTCGATAATCTCTGAATTATTGTGCGAATAATTTTCTATTTTCCTAGCTGCTAATATATTCATCGTCGGCTTTACGTCTTTGCATTCAATAACTATTTCCAGGCCTTCATGAGATTTGGCCATTTCGTCATATTCTTGAAGCTTTTTGATCTAAAATAAAAGTAAAGTCGTATCAAAAATTTTGATTAGATATGTTTACCAGGATGGTCGGAAATAAATTATTTAAGCTCACATTCTTAATATCAAGTGTCCTGTCAATTAATTCGTAATTGTTTTCAGTAAAGGACACATCGATTGGTTCTTGTTTTATTCTGAAATGAATAAAATAAGATAAATAATGTGTATGAACTAATTTCAAATGTTTGTTTGAAAAAAGAAAATTTACCGTACGGCACAGTGGAATAAGAAAGAATCACAGCGTGACCGTAGCTCCGAGAAGATTTGCCCAAACATGGGCCGTAAATAGAACGACACATGCTCAACCCGGTGACTTCAACTAGCAACAAAAAAACAAGTAGTTTATCCTTTGAGGGAAAAACCACCAAGATGTGCCCCCGTCGAACAGATGCATGATTAAATTAGTATATAACGAGCATAAAAATTAGGCTTCTGGGCAGATCATTCTATACCTTCGAGTACGGCGAAGCTCTGGGCGTGAACACTCCGAATATTATGGTAGAGACTCCGCAATATATTAAATGGACTTGTAATAAAATATACTTAACGAGTAACTACGAATAAAACATACTTGTACTTTGCGGAAAGTAATAGTGAATTATTAACAGCACGCTAGCTTAATTGTATACGGACGGTAAAACATCCGAGCTTGCTAAGCCGCCACCAGCAGCCAGGTAGCCGCGACCGACGGCCAAGCAGCAGCCTAGCCGCAGCCACCAGCAGCCGTTCGACGCAGCAGACCGACAGCCACTACCAGCATCAAGACCAACAATCATCTGCAGACGTAGTTTGTAAGCTTCGTTTCAATAGTATTAAGTTATTTTGTTTATAATAAAGTCTTGCGTGTGAATCTCACTCGAGCATTATACATTTATTTCATGTTCCTCCCCTCAGTCGGCAACAGTAACAATTCATTCTAAATGATAAAGTTATTACCTAATACCAAAAGGTATTTAACAATTCCATTCAAAATTGAAAGTAATTCGGAATAAACATTTTTTATGACAAATTTGTTGAAATGTAATTTGTAATTCTGTAATTGAAAATGATGCAACACTGCTACACACAAATACTTCTTCGATGTCTTTAAGGGGAGGCTCTCATCTAGCGCCTCAAAAATGACATGTTTTTCGTGATTTTTTTTTCGTGGAAGGAAGTGAATAATGCAGTCAAATTTTTTTGGTACTTATAAAGTATGTATTCAACTATATTTACAAATTTTTTCAGACCAACATATCAAATTATTTATCGCCTAGCAGCGTTTGATGGAGGTCGTGTTAAAAAAAGGTACCTCAACGGGCGGCAAGCTAGCGCCTTCAGTTTTTGCCCGAAACTAAAAATGCGAAGTTCCTCTTAAACTAGATGACATTTGCTGGAGGTTGAACCTAAATAATTGCAAAAAAATTAAAAATTGATGAAATGGCGGACTTCGGAAAAAAAATTTCTTTTTTTTGCCTTTTTTTGGCTCTTTTAAGGGCTGTAAAAAGTAATAGTAATGAAAAAATTTAAAATTTTATAGGTTCAACCTCCAGACAATTTAATTAGCTTTAAAATAAAACAAAAGCGTATCTCTAACTGCAGTACTTTTCGAGATATCTTGCCGCCCGATTCAGAAAACATAGTTTCGAGAAAAACGCGTTTAAAGTTTTAGAAAGTGAATGTACATACATGAGTGTTTCTGACTAACTTTTAAAATTGCACGTACTGATGTGTAAGTCAGGTAATTTACCATGCACAGTTCTGAAATTTTATCAGGGTCTTTAAGAAGACTTGACAGATCTACACTTTTATTTTTGAGCGTTTTGGTGGCCCGTCCTTTTTGTATCGCACGTTTGAAAATCGATTTTACTCTTGAGTCAAAAAACGTACTGCGAATAAAATAAATTTTCGATAGCTTCTTCAAAAATGGACTATTAACCAAATGATATGAAATTATCATGTTACCTTCCTTTATTCACATACTTTAGAAAAATTTGTGACCTGAACTTGATCCTCCTAAATTGGAAATTTCCCAGAATGTTTTCCGCGCGTACTGGATTATTTGAACTTTTAGCTTTTTTTATACATTTTCATTTTTTACAATGGACTATTGTTTTTTTTTATATCTGTATACATGTTTAAAAAGGGCTGGAAAAGACGAACAAAATGAGCCCAACCAGAACTCTGTCCCTTATTTAATAAGAATTGTACGCTGGATTGAACATTCGATAATCCTGCGTTAATCACTTAAAAATTTTTGAAAAAAATTTTTTTTTCATGAAATTTTTTTCTACTATGAATAAATTAATTAATTTATAAAAAAAATTTTTTTCATGGGAAATTTATAAACAATTTTTATAAACAATTTTTTTTTTTCATGAAAAATTTTTATAAATATATTTTTTTTCATGAAAAATTTTTTTCTTATCATGAATAAATAAATTATTCAACAAATAATTTTTTTTCACACACTTTCTTTTTTTATTTAAAAAATTTTGCTATATCATCAAGGGCAAGGCCGTAAAAAAAAAATTTTACATTTAATTCATTTATAATGACTACGCAATTCGCCTACGTAGATAATTATGTGCGGGATGATATAAGTAATGTCACATGAAAACACATGAAAGAAAAAGGGGTTTTTTCGCTTCAAAAAGTGCATAAGGAAACTTGAAAAAATCCAAAGAAATTTAAGGTCATGTTTTTCAATGCATAAAACAGAGAAAAAAATTTTCGAGTTTGATATTGGCTCGTATCGCCGTATATAAATTTTCCAAATTTTTAATTATTTTATCTGAAGGCCTGAAGCCCTCGAAAAATCTGAAGAAATTCAAGGTGCTTAGTTTTGTTGATATGTACTATTATGAATTTTTTCAGATTTTTTAATTACTTCAGGGCTTCAGAATGAATATAAATAAAGAATGGACGTTTATAGGGGTGGAGGGGGTAGGAGGGGGGGATGGGGAGTAAAATTTTGGCTTTAGGATTTTTTTACCATGTACTATAACATATCAAAAGCGCATCTAGATCGGTGTCATTCGAAAATTTGAAGAAGTTTTATTTTGACCCACATTTAAATCGGGTTTCCCAAATGGACTATGGAGGAAAATAAAGCCCAAAGTTATTTTTGGGATTCTTTGTTGATAATATTCAAGAAAAATTCATTCCGGATACTGTGCCGCTAAATTTTTCATCAAAAATTTTTTTAGGCGTTATTTTAAAAGTTAGTCAGAATCACTCACATACATACATCGTTCCCTCGTAAAAAAACAGCTTTAGTTTTTTGCCTATAACTTTTTAACTAAATCGATTTTGATAAAAAGGGTTTCGGGGGTGTATTCTACGGGACATTTGCTATCTAAGTAAGCAAAAAAAAAAAAAACGATTTTTTGATCGAGTCTCATGAGAGCCTCCCCTTAATATGTTACTTATTTTACGATTCGACAAAATTAAAAAATAAAAATGGTTTTATTCTAAATCCATTAAATTTTTATGAGAAAAATTGGGAAAGTCAATATGCCATTTAGGATTTTTAAATAATTTTAATAATTGAATAATTGAAAGCCAAATATTGTGTATTTTTATGAACTTGGAAAGGGAGAGATCAATATATGAATACAATGCGAATAAACTTGAAGTCAGATATACATTAAGATAGATTGAAAACAATCAATATGGTTTTTTTCTGTACAAAATTTATTGATTTGTAAAAACTAGGAGATCATTTTTTGTGTAGTAATTCATTTGGAGAAATATGATGCGAAATATTGAATGAAAATTTTTTCATTAATATTTTTAAAAAAATATACTAGATCTCACATTGCAGTTTTGATGCAAGTGAACATGAGTCAACGATGAGCCACATCGATGTGCATTTTAAGATTTTTCTTTTGTGAAAATGATTTACCGCATTCATTACATGTGTAGATATTACTTGGGTGCGACGATTTAACATGTCGTCGGAGACTAAACAAATTTTCATATTTTTTCCCGCAAATATCACATTTATGTAAAATATCGTTGTGTACTCCCTTGATGTACTTGTTGAGATTACCATTATTTGAGAATTTCTTTCCGCATATAACACATGCATGAGTGATACCATTATGTAGCGAGTCGATGTGTTTTTTAAGACTTCCTTTCTCTGAGAACTTATTTCCGCATATATCACATGCATGAGTGACTCTATTGTGTATTGAATCGACGTGGCTTTTGAGATGACTCTTCTGAGTGAATTTCTTTCCACAAATATTACATCCATGTGAAACACCATTGTGCACCGAGTCGATGTGGGTTTTGAGATAATTTTTTGTTGTGAATGACTTTTCGCAAGTATTGCATGCGTGTGTGATGCAATTGTGCAATATATCCATATGTCTTTTGAGATTACTTTTACGGGTAAATGACTTTTCGCATAAGTCACATGAATGCATCACATTAACGCCATTGTGCACTGAATCGACGTGGCTTTTGAGATGCGGCTTTTGTGTATATTTCTTCTCGCATATACCACATGCATGCGTGATTTTATTATGAACCGATTCCACGTGAGTTTTGAGATTACCTTGTTGTGTAAATGACTTTCCACACTCATTACAAGCATGTCTGATACCTTTATGTTTTGTGTCGATGTGGAGTTTAAGATTACTTTTTTTTGTAAATTTCAATCCACATGTATCACAAGAGATACTCCTGCTCACTTTATGGATTGATGTTTTGAGTCTATGTTTGTAGATTGATTTTTTTTCAACTCTTCTTTTTTCATTTTGCTCGCTGAGTTCAAAGTAATTGAAATTGAGGTTTAATTCTTTTACGTTGTTGTGGAAAAGTTCTTTTTTCACTAACTCTGTAGTTTCTTCTTTGATTGTGTCGATAATCTCTGAATTATGCGTGCGAATAATTTTCTATTTTCCTAACTGCTAATATATTCATCGTCGGCTTCACGTCTTTGCATTCAATAACTATTTCTAGGCCTTCATGAGATTTGGCCATTTCGTCACATTCTTGAAGCCTTATTCGATCTGAAATAAAAGTAAATTCGTATCAAAAATTTTGATTAGATATGTTTACCAGGATAGTCGGAAATAAATTATTTAAGCTCACATTCATAATATCAAGTCTCCTGTCAATTAATTCGTAATTGTTTTCAGTAAAGGACACATCGATTGGTTCTTGTTTTATTCTGAAATGAATGAAATAAGATTAAAAATTTGTTTGAACTAATTTCAAAAGTTTGTTTTGAAAAAAGAAAATTTACCGTACGGCACAGCGGAAAATATCGCTCGAGTCCATCTTGCTAATTTGAGATGTCGTTTGCGATTAAACTCTCTCTGCCAATGAGAACATCAAACTAATTAACTTGAATACAATAATATTTACGAATGAAATCTGAAAACGAATCTCGATCGACCTAATTTTAATCTAACATCACATAAGTTTATTGTACATCATTTAATAAATTACCCGATTGATCTGTCCAGTGAACAATCATCATTTTTTCACGAATGACATTTTAATAAATGAATCTTTGGTGTGCGCCAGCACCCTGAAAATTGCTATGTTTTTTCTCAGACAAATCGATAAGTAGCATCTTCAAGAAACTCGAGAGCTTGTTCATGCGATTCCGCGTTAAAGACTCGCTGTTCGAGTTTAAGGGGAGTCATACACCAATTGGTTCTTATTGGGCATTTTTGTGATATACATCACAGTTTGATGTCAATCTATGTTTTCAATATCAATTTGGTATCTTTGGACCCTACAAAATGTGGAAAAAAGTGTCAGAATAGACCTCTGCGTCTAAAAATAGCTTATTTTTGCTATTTTAGGATTTTGGCACTGTTTTTGAAGTACAGACTTCTAGTACGTCTCAAAATCTTCATAAAATTACTCTTTATGGGCTGAGTTTTCTAAAATTTTGATTTAGACCTTTACATCAGTTCTGTTACTCAATATGTGCTCAAAAACAACAATAAATTTTCATGAATTTTGCTTTTTTTCACATCTATTGTTGTAAAAACTTTTTTATAACTTGAATCAAAATTCCACAAAACTCAGCCCATAAAGGACATTTTTCTGAAGAATTTGAGACGTACTAGAGGTCTCTATGATGAAAACTGACTGAGAAACCCTGCGCACACTGGACTAAAATGTGAAAAATCAAACTTTCCAGGAGAAGCAAAAGAAAGAATTAATGTTTAAAATATTGAAATCTTTCCCTTTACATTCTCAGTGGCCCACACATAAATCTCACTCACACTTTACTCATTCTCATACTAATTTGAGCTTTTTCACATCATTTTATTGATTTGTTTCAATGTAAATTTCACTCAACTCACACAAAATTCAGGCATCATGCGTGCATTATTCAGTTTCTCAGTGCTGTATGTTGTTAAGTACCAAGCATAAATGTTTTAGATTTGAAAGGTGCATTTGAGCATTATTATTTCAAATGCCTTTTCTAAAAATAAAACATGCTATAATTTCAAGTATATTTTAACTGTATCACTTGTAAGAAAATATGTTTTACTATAAATCAATCACTACACTGCAGCACTGACAAACAATATAAACTGAATAAAATTATGAATCTTTATTTTTCTCTTTGGTAATGAACTACTTTAAATTTTGATAAAAAAACTTTTATTAATTCACTTTCCCAATTAACTTCAACTCTCAAATTATAAAACATCACTCATTACACAGCTGATTTATTTTGACATTTTAGTTGCCCATGTGAAATTTTTATCAATTGCATCTTCACATAAACAAAATAATAAATATTTTTCTGCTACTTCTGCTGGTGCAGTTTAATTCTGCTATATAAGAGAGGCTAGCTTTTTGTTTACAAATTTGATTCTCAAATTTGAACACCAGAGGCAGCACTAACAGCAGTAGTACTGGCAGCCGAACGCCTTGAAAATGCCCTTTTCGAGATATTCGACTTTAAAAGTTTTCCGGCAATTTTCTCGAGGAAAATGGAAAATTTTTGATAATATGACCCCACCATCAGAAAGCTGAGGTAATTTCCTATCGAAATGGTAGTTTACTTTTTTTTTTTAGGTGCATTTAGTAACTTTTACAGCGAGTTAGAAATTGCGAGATTTCGCCTAATAATGCCGCGCGGGCGAGCCATTCGAGACTTGACGTGATATGGCTTACACACATTATAATAACATAAATAATTTGTTTTGAGGATTAAAAATTTGGGAAATGATACTTCAAATGTCAAAGAATCGAAAGCAAACTTAAAAAAACAATCGATTTTTCGGTCAAATTTGGTGTATATCTCCCCTTAACATGAAACGCCTGCCCCGTAGGATGTTTTTCATTTTCGGGTCGATACATTACATAATTTTGGATTGTTGTTTTTTCTCTTGAAAGTTTGCAGAAGCCATCCTTTGTAGTACCGATAGAGTCATGTTCTATATATTCTTTAATTTAACTTCGTTTCATTCCGTATACCAATGTCAGAATTATTTGTGTAATTATTTATACCTTCCCCCGACAATTATATAATTATTAAAAAAGCATTTTAATTCATAAAACAACATATGCCTTTTTTAATGATTATAAATTTGAATTATTGTTACATATACATAATAAAATTTATAATAAAACTAAATCTTGAAATGTTTTACAATATTTTTCACGATTTCAAATGATTTTATAATATTGACGATGTTGATGATTTTAAGTCAATCGATGTCGATCTGTCATTTGAATTGTGTGCTGTATAAAATTTTGATGATTTGACTTTTTTTTTTTTTTAATCATTCGTAGAATTCATATTTCCTGCAATGATTATACTTTTAATATAAAGGCATAATTCTCTATTCTGTAGGATGTTTTTTGTGCCCTGCGCACCTCTAATTACAATCATGAAAAGTTCAATTTTAACTCTCTATATAAGCCAATAAAAAAAGAAAAAAAAGCAACTGAAATTCTATCAATACAGTTCCAGCGTCGCTAAGTATGCCTATAAATACAAGACGTTTGATGAAAATTGCCTTCGCACGCGCGAAAGACACACATAGCACACACTGCACTCGATGCGGCATACAACCAATGATATACGCAACACGATGACGGTCACGGACGCAAAAGGTTCTTTTATCGATTATCGCTATACGCGCGCGAACGACGGAAGAAGTAATAATAACGAAAGAAAGAAAAAAAAAAGAAGAGTAAGAAACTACAAGCGTCATTTGTACAATTTTCTCACGTACATACATCGGAGTCAAAGTAATATCTATGGATTATTATTCACATCCAATTTTCCTATCGCGCGCCCAGCTACAAACTGACAGTTGTGTGCCATCGCTCTTGCCTGCATCAAGTCGCATCGAGAACGGCTTTGATTTTTTCTCTTTATTTATTACCTATGTTTTTTTTGCTTCTATCTTGCGCGACTCTCGCGATTGCGTGATTAGTTTTTTTATTTTGATTTTTCTCTTCCCCCTTTTCTCGCTACGTTCATTTCAGAAACGAATTACGGTAAAAAATGAAAAATTCGATTGGTCCAATGAGATCGATTGATTAATTTTTGTCGAGCTCGCGAGCAATTACGCGTCACGGCGCAATAATCCATGCACATCGGTTTATTATTTTCCTTCTCTCGCAAATTATCCACGTGCTATTTATACTGAAATCAACCATGCGAAATCGCGCTGGCCTTTATCGGAAGCTACTTTGTCGTCGATAACAATTTTCGCCCTCAATTATTCAAATTCACATTCGTTGTTATTATTTTCCTTCTCGATATATCCTCGCTCGTTTTTTCGTTGTCTCGATGTGCCGCTGCGCCGCAGCAGCTCGCGTTATTTCGACACCCGTAGCGTCGGCCGAATTAATCATTATCGACGATCGTCGTCGCAATTATGACTTCGATTACGATCGGCGAGTTATCGCGTCGAGCCAACGTCGTCGGGCATCGTAGCAAATATCGCTGAGACAATCGAGAAAAAGAGATGAAGCTGGTGGCTTACAAAAAATACGCCATCTACGGTGTCGCCCTGTTCGCTTTCTCGCTCACTTGGCTGCTCGTCGTGATGCCGATCTCGATTAGGAAAATTTTGAGACACGTGAGTATACTACGTGCTTTTTTTTACCGATTTTTGTTGTTTTTTCTTCACCGCCCCAGGAAGTCGCGTTGAAGAAGGGCTGGCCCATGCGCGGCATGTGGGAGAAGTATCCGTTCCCGCTGCTGTTTCACATCTACGTGTTCAACGTGACGAATCCGGCCTCGGTCAGTCGGGGCGAGAAGCCCGCCCTGCAGCAGATCGGGCCCTTCGTTTACGAGTGAGTATATATGGGCTATATCGCGTGAACTGCCTCCCCTTGGATCAGAGTTGTAATTTGATTTTTCATATTTTATTCTACTTTCCAAGAGTGAATATGAAAAAATTATTGAAACACGATTTTTTATATAAAATTTGATGAGGAATTCAAATTTGACGTTAAAAATCATATTCATAAACTCCAAATACCTTAATTTCTAAATTTCAGCTTAAATGGCAAAAATAAACATGTTCGTATTCAGCGATATGGCCAATAGTGTAATATGTTCATCGAGTCATATGTAATATGTTCATCATAGTGTAATATGTAATATGGTATTCGATACACCAAAATACAACTTCTGATAAATTTTGGTAGTTGGCAGACAAACAGACTTCATTATTGACCTTCATATGTTCCAATAAAACATGATTTTTCTCTAGATTTCCTCTATTCTTGACTCATATCATGTTCAATAATGAATTCTGCTCGTCGGCCAACTACCTAAATTTATCAGAAGTTGTATTTTGGTGTATCGTTAAACATATTACAATATTGGCCATATCGCTGGATACGAACATGTTTATTTTTGCCACTGAGGCTGAAAGTAAGAAATTAAGGTATTTGGAGTGTATGAATATGATTTTTGACGTCACATTTGAATTCCTCATCAAATTTTACATAAAAAATCATGTTTCAATCATTTTTTCACATTCACTCTCGGAAAGCAGAATAAAATATGAAAAATCAAAACAAAAAGAGGGAGGGACAGTTGACGCGATATAGCCCATATACGAAAAAATATGAACAAGGAAATGAAATTAACTAAATTAACGGATTCGATCCAGCGAATGGATCGAGAAGACGAGCGTGCAGGACCACGAGGAGGACGACAGCGTGTCGTACCTGTCCAAGCGCACCTATCGCTTCAACGCGGCGCGCAGCAAGAACTACACCGGCGACGAGGAGGTCGTCATTCCGCATCTCTTCGCCGTCGGCCTGATCAACGGCGTGCTGCGCATGAAGCCCGACTCCATCTTCCTCGTGGGCAAGTTATTTTTAAAGCCCAAAAAAAAAAACTAGAGTAATTTTATATTTTATCATCATCATCGTCGCGAGCAGCTCCGGCGCTCGACAGCATCCTGCGCAAGCCCGAGTCGGCGTTCGCCCGGGTCAAAGTGCGCGACCTGCTGTTCGACGGCCTGCTGATCGACTGCAACGTCGAGGACTTCGCCGGCGCCATAGCCTGCAAGGAGATCGCCGACAGGTACGAGCATCTCCGGCTCAAGCTCGTCGGCAAGAAGTTGTACGCGCTGTCGTTCCTCGGCACGGACAACGGAACGGCGACCCAGGCACGGGTGCGCGTCAAGCGCGGTATACGCGACTTGCAGGACCTGACCAAGATCGTCTCGTACGACAACAGGACCAAGCTCACCATCTGGGACGACGAGGGCTGCGATCGACTACACGGCACGGACGGCTCGCTCTTTCATCCGTTCCTGGATCGGGGTGGCCGCGAGCAGCTCACCACCTACACGCCCCAGTTCTGTCGCAGCCTCGTGGCGAGCTTCGTGGCCAAGGTGGGCCTCGGGGCCTTCTGTGTCCAGCTGCTGCGCTACACCACCGACCTGGGCGTCGACGGCCTCGGCCAGGCCGAGCACAAGTGCTACTGTCCGGGCGGCAGGACGGCCTGTCCGCGTCGCGGCGTCTTCGATCTGTTCAAGTGTCAGGGTCAGCCGCTCGTAGTCAGCAATCCGCACTTCTATCTGGCCGATCCGGCCTTTCTCGGTGCCATCGGCTCGGGTTTGGAGCCCGACAAGGCCAAGCACGCGATCGAGATCGACGTGGATCCGCTGATCGGGACGCCGGTGCGCGCCAGGTTGCGCTTTCAGCTCAACATACAGCTGCAGCCGGTGCAGGAGGTGCCGCTGGTGCGGGGATTCCCCGAGGTGTTGCTGCCCCTGGTCTGGGTCGACGAGACCCTGGACCTGCCGAGGAAGTTCGTCGTCATGATCGTGGCTGCACACGCCATCATCGGCCTGTCCAAGTGAGTATTAAATCGTATAAATTAAAAAAGCTCTTCCCTATATATGCTAACGCGTGTAATGTAATTGTCCGCAAGGCTAATTCTGATGTGCACGACCATAGCCGGCCTCGGCATGTGCTGCTACGCCGGCCTCCTGCTCTACAACGAGAAAAGATCCTCGTCGTCGTTGTACCCCAACAACGGAGAGCTCGGCAGCACCGCCGCTACGGGCAACAACAACGGCAGCGGATCGGTGTCGCCGATGTCGGGCGAGGAACAGAGGTCCGCCTTCGACATAATAAAGACGAAAATTTTTCCCAATCGCTAGAGTATATATATACAAAAATAATAACGATAATAATCGACGACGCCTCGGCTGTGCTATTCATATAAATATACGTAGACTAATTATCGTTAATTCGAGAGATATAAAAGCTTTTTTTTTTGTTTTGTGCTCGGGTGGGCAGTCGATTCGATTCCGCGTTGTAATTAATATTGTACGAAACAAAAGACATTCTGATTATTATTTTCGATAATACACAAAAGAGAAAATTTTCCTTCTTTTTTTTTATGAAAGATTCTCGAATACTTCTGATACAATTATGATTTTGTTTTTCTTACAACTGTCATGTGTTATAATAATTATAAACTATATGTAATAATTCAATCACAAAACGACGCGTTTATCTACTTATTGATTCTTCGTAACACACACACTACACACTCAGTCTTTGCGTAATAATAATAAGTGCATAAATAATAATCACTTTCTCGCACTGTGTCTGTGTGCCGCCGCCTGTCTCCGTCTCCTTCGTCGTTGCTGCTGCTTCTCTCCGCGCGAATTATCGCGATGATCCTTGATCCTGCAGAGCAGCATGTTCTTGTAGGCGTGGCGATACTCGGAGCTCATCACCACGTAGATCACCGGATTGATGCAGGTAGTGAGGTAGATGAGTATGTAGCCGGCGATGTTGAGGCCCCGCCACTCGAGTATGTTGAGCTTGAAGGTCTTGCTGATGGTGATGGGCAGGTAGCAGACGAGGAAGGCCGCGAATATCACCAGGATCATTTTCAGCAGCTTCTTGTCCTTGGCCGTCATTCTTCCGGTGCCGTCGTGGTTGTTGTTGTTGTTGTTGTGCCCTCGGCGAAAACTCGGAAATCTCGATCGACGTCGTTTGTGATGACGACGATTGCGATGATTATGATGATGGTGATGATGATTGTGACGATGATGATGATCGACGCCGGCGATCGAGATGATTACCGCCGCTGGTTTTTTGTCGTCAGCTGTGCGGATATCGTTGGTGTGATTCGGATCTTCTCCTCCTGCTCCACCACCACCGCCCCCATTGTAAGGGTTGTTGTAGCTGCTCGCGCTGCTGAAGCGTCGATGCGACGGACGATCCGAGGCCGAGGGCGAGTCCGAGCGCGAGCTCGCGCAGTCGTCCGACGTGTCCTCGTATCTGAGAAAACACCAAAAATCGATCGTAAAATAGAAAACTATAACAACGATTGTCGATTGCTACCTATACCTGTAAGTGATCGGTGGACTGAGAAATCTCGAGCTCAGATCGACGGCCGCCGGCAATGAGCTCGAGTCCAATATCAGGCCTGAATCGTTTCTCGACTGTAAGTGTTGTTGTTGCTGCTGTGACTGCTGCGGCACGTCAATGTACGGAAAATCCTGCAGACTCTTGGTGAAATTATCATTGTCCTGAATCCTGAGCTCGGGTAGCACGACGTCGCAGCTGGAGGAGGCCGCCGAGGCAGTCTCGTGCGTACTGGTCGTCGTGGCCTCCAGGTAGTTGCTGTTGCTCGTTGTCATCGTCCCTTGTTGTTGAAGACTGCCCACGAGCCTCGCCAGGGAGAAGCGTCGGGTCTCGATCTTGGGCGGGCACGACTGGGCCGAGGTCGCCTCGCAGCACAGCGACGTCGTGGTCTGGGCCGTGTCGTGGGTGTGGCTCGCCGTCGTTAGCTGGCAGCTCAGCGCCGAGCCGCTCTTTCTCCTACTCCTGGCCAGCGTAATTGTTTTTTCCGTCGCTAATTCAGTTTTGGCGATCACCGCCGGGGGTACGGTTGCATCTCGACGTTGCTGCTGCTGCTGTTGTTCAGCGTCTCGACGACGGCTCTTGAGGGCGGTGCGTCGCACTATGTGGAAGATGCGCGCGTAACAGACGACGATGGACAGGCAGGGCGCCACGAAGGCCAGCACGAACAGACTGATCTTGGGCGTGCGCCCGTTGGCGTCGGGCAGGATCGAGCAGCTGCCGATCGCAGGATCGAGGCCGAAGCGGCCCCAGACGCCAAAGGTGGTGGGCAGCAGGGCGCCGAAGCCACCCACCCACGTGGACAGTACCATGCAGAGCAGATTTCTCGGCGTGTAGATTCTAAATTGAATAATTATAGAAGATGAAATGAATTTATCGGAGATGCGCGGAACTAGCTGCTCAGCTTACTTGGGATACAGTCTCGGATGGCCGATCATGACGTAGCGATTGATGGTGATGGACAGTACGGTGAACAGGCTTACAGCGACGAGGGCGTAGCGCAGAAAGGGGAAGAGCTGGCAGAAGAAGGCGCCGTGCAGCCAGACCCCGTGCCAGAACATCGAGGCCGCGAGCGGCAGGACCACGCAGCAGAACATCAGGTCGGACAGTGATAGATTCATGATGAAGACGGCGGTCGCGTTTTTGAACTGCAACAGAGTGAATTATAGGAGAGGTGGTATTCATACGGTTTAGAGAATTTTAATCGAAATTCGGGTGAAATTCCGCGAAAGCTCGGCGCGACCGCAACGCACGATTTGTATCGCGCGTATATATATATGTGTACGCTTCGACGTCTTAATTTTCCGGCGGAGCTTTTCGCAGCCGCCGCTTTGAACCGCAGAATTAATCGCGTCTATGTGTATATAGATACACAAACACCCACGCACATACATACTACGGGTGTGAGAGTATATAAACATACAAAACTATAGCCTACGATCGATTCGCATCTTGGCAGTAGCTCTTATTCGAGAGGTCGCGCGCGCCAAGTGAATTTTCTGCTTTATGTATACCGCGCGGCTCTCTTTCGACTCGAGCTATAAGCTCTTACGACGGCTCGATGAGGTGTATATGTATGTAGTACGTAGTATATACCCCTCAAATGTGTACGCATTGTTGCTCGCACCCACGCGCTTTTCGATAAATATTTATTGTAAACAGCTGCTGCTGCTGCTGCTGCTGTGATGGCTGAAAGCTCACCGCAAGCTCGCAACTTTGCGGATTTTTCTCTGTATATATACGTGTCTATAAACACGCAGGTCTCGTTTAAAAAAAATTTTTTACTTTTACGAGCGATAGAGCACGCGTGGGTGGAGAGAGAGAGAGAAAATCTTTTTATGATCTCTTCGTCGAGCTTTTTCATGCGCTAGACAGCTGCTGCTACTGCTGTTACGAACATATAAGAAAAGGAAAGAAAAGAAAAAAAATTTTACGACGAAGGGAGGGAGGAAGGGAATCTTGGCCATTATTTTTACCATATACTCCCCCGTCGCGCGCCGCGTTACGTTTCAATAATTCAGCGAGCGAGATGTGTAAAAATTAATTGCCATTTATAACGCTGGGCAGCGACGACGACGACGACGACGACGCGATACTTAATCGATATCTTCGTGAATACGCGCGCGCGCGGGATTTAATTGACGTGAGATATAGCGCCGTATCAAATATGCAATACGTGTAAGCGGCCAATTTTTCATAGTCAAACGAACGGTGATTTAATTGCTTGGAGCTGTTGTTGATTGTTTGTGTGTTTGTTTTTTTTTTTTTGCTTTTTATAACACTCAATCGAACGAGCGGATTTATTTATGTCTCGGTGCAGTTTATGACGTGTAAACGTGTCTCATTCCGGCTATGGCTAATAATACGATGAGTTGTACAATGGATGTTAATTATTAAATAGACTTGATAATTCAATTTCAACCGAATGTTTTTTTACTTCTACTTTTCTCCTATTACAGGCTAATGAATTTCATGTAACTTGCAGTATAAAATATTAAACGTTATATTTACTATAAGATTATGTAAAAGTCTAGAAAGTTTTTTTCCTTCGTGATAGATGACTTCATTTTTTTCATGAATAACATCACATTCAATTTAATGTAAGATGTTTTCAATTCTATATTGATTCACATCAATTTTCATTTAGTTTTTCCAACTTTAGATGTTTTTAACGTAAATCGTATATTAAATTGAGTCTATATAACTTTGATTTCGATGAAGTGATTCCGTTGATGAAAGTATCCATGTAGTTTTATACAATTATTTTGACTGTGCCACTTGCAGATTTACCGATGAAGGTACTCGCCATCTAGCGGTGGAAGCTGGTATTGATTGCGTTTGAATTTTCATACATTTTTTAACCAATAATAAAGAAAATTTCCAAAAACAACAAGTTGGCAACACGTACAAACGCCAACGGTCGTGCGTGAAAAATTCTTAAATCTTAAAGATCATCAATTTATTATGAAATACTTGCGAGGCAGCCGAAGTTGATTCGTAATTTTGCGCAAAGGTCGTTGCACTCGTCCATATCTGAGCGCGCCTCGAATTCATGATCTTCTTGCAAGCTCGCGCGCACTCGCACATATTTATTTATAAATCCAACGTTCATATATAACGAAAGAGAAAGAAAGAGACGACACGGCCTGAATTTATCGTCATACATTTCATAGGCGTGTGTTCAACGGAGCATCGACAGCCGATAATGAATAATAATGTACGTGCAGTACATTGTTAAAAAAACCCGAAACATGCAGATTTAATGCCAAATTAGACATTGAGATTAAAGTAATCGATTTTGAGTTTTATTTGAGATGTAATTTTCCATGAGATCTTCGTTAAAATCATTACACAAATTATTTTTCATTGCAAAAATAATTCGAAAAAACTTAATTCTCTATTCAAATTTAAACAATTTAATTGAAAATTAATGTTGAAATAATGATTTAGTTTTTGCGTTATAATGGACAAAAAAAAATTTTAAGAACTCAATCATAATTAAATCCAGGATTCACTACTAGATGGCGAGTAGGTTCATCTGTAAATCTGCAAGTGGCAAAGTCAATATAATTGTATAAGTCAGGTACGATTTTGATAATTTTATCCTTTTTTTTATCAGATTCATTATTACGTTTATCAATCAATTTTAGTTATATGCGATTAGCAAGTCGAAAATTTCCATTTCTATCACAAAGCAAAATTGGGACAGTTCGGTAAAATCGCACATGGGCTCTCGAATCGAAGCTTCTCAAACTCGCGCGCATCATTTTTATTTTCGATGCGCCTCAACTGGGAGCAGCAGCGGCGAGTGCATTCGAGCCGCAAACCCGCAAGCTCGCAAGAAATATCAAACTTAAAATAGTAACGAGTTTAAAAACACAAAAACTCATTACGCGAGCTCTCGGTATAATGCGCGAGGCACGACGCGATGATGTATACACGTCCGAAGTCATCGAAGTTTCTTCAAAATCTTCGCCTATATACAAATCATACGTATATCGACGGTTAGGCTGCTTCGCGAGCCGAAGCACGTAGACACGCCGTCTAATGTGTACATAAGGTATATATGTACGAAAGCCGAAATAGCGATTTCGCGACTGCGTGACGTAGGCGCGTAATACCAGTCGTTCGATAATAATAATCGACGCTTCGATTCCTCCCACTGGCTTATATATGTACGCGGGCCGATGACGTTTTCCATTGCTGCTGTGCGATATATCTACTACGAGTCTCTTACATAAACGGGTTATAATATTCGTGGAGTACGTCGGTTTCGCGAAGCTTTGCACGTGTTGCTATTAACGCGTGAAAGCTTGAAATTACGATTTCGAAGTTGTAGGATTGAATTTTTGCAAAATGAAAAATAAAAAATGAAAAATTTTAAATTGTCGATACGGTTCTTGGAATACGCTGACATAATTTTATATGATCGATTACGGACGCAGATCGACGCACCCTAGTTTACATTACGTCGACAATTACGGGACATTAGTCCATCTATAAACAGCGAGGAAACGACGAATATCGATGTCATTTTTTTTTCTTTCCGCAGGTATAGTTGCAGCAAACCTTATTATAAAACGGGTAATTGTTACAAAGAAGTCAACGAGAAACCATTGTTGGATAACGAGAACTCATTACCCGGTTATAATACACGTTAATGAAACGGCGCGCAAAATTATTAAATTATGCATAAATACTGCTGTATTTATATACGAACTTATACACACAGGCGTGCGTGTGTACCTGTTGGCCGGAGCTATAAATAAACTTTGTTTGCGACGAATAGCGGTTATAAGCGATTTTTTGGTCAATTTTTTACAACTCCCATTGTTACGAACTTTTGATTCTCCATTGTTGCCCTTACGTAAAAAGCTCGGGTCACTTTAATAATTGACGACGTTTATTTCTTTTTTCTACCCATCGCAACGAGGTCTTGTTTACTTCGAAAACCGCAGTGCCTCTGTTTCGCTTCTTATCGCGAGGATCTATCTCGACGATGATGGAGCCGCCGCACGTAACTTCGGCCGTGGTGAAGAGTCACATCAAGTCCTTCGATCCGCCTCTGCACGACCTGGTGATGAATCTGTGCGGTCTGCAGGTGTACCAAAGTAAAAAAGCTCGAACGATCGCCAGATCCGTCATTTTAATCAATATGTCTTTCGCTTTCTCGACCCAAGTGAATAAACAATAAGATCTAATTTCGAAATGCAAATCGAATATTCCATCGTAAAATTATGTTTACAGATCCTGCGCTTGATCGAGGAGCTGTCCGAGCCCAAGCTCAATCTATCCATCCTGGGCGACCTGCTGTTTCAGAATCTCATCCTCGGCTTCACGTTCTTCTACTACATCTGCTGTCTGAGGCGACAGGTCGAGTTTCGCAAAATAAGGAACAAGGTCACCGTCGACTTTTTGACTCTGGAAAATTGCGACAAGCAGGACGAGAAGGAGCTGCTGGCGAGCTATTACAACGTCGCGCGGATCATGATACAGGCGATGATCGGCCTGATCTATCTGTCGCACATCGGCTGGGTCATAGCCCCGATGGTCGTGCCTAAAATTTTAAATCGGCTGCTGAACACGAGCTTCGAGTCCGGCGCCTGCGCCTACGTCACCAGACTCATTGACGTGGACAAGTATCTCTATCAGGTGTTTTACTACACCATCTTCATGGCCACGATACTGTCGATCTTGGCCGGGGCGCTCTGCTCGTGCACCATCTCGTTGATCGTTCACCTGCTCGCCAAGATTCGCATTACCAAGTAAAAAAACGTAAATAAAAAGATAACGGATGATGTAATTGAAACGATGATTTCGCAGAATGCGACTGGATTCGCTGGTGAAAATTACGATAAATCACTGCGGCAGCGAGCGCGACGAGCGTAAAAAGCGTTGTTTGATCGAGGACGCGTACGCGGCGCTCATGGGCTTCATTAAGAGTCATCAAGATAACATTTAGTTCAGTGATGCGGATTTGCTCGTAAATTAAAATATGATGAATTAATTTTGGAAAATTCTCCGATTGTTGCAGCTTCAACGAGCTCTGCACTCACGCCAGCTCGGATATTCTTCTGGGTGCCGTGATACTGGTCGTCATATCGTTGACCATATCGGGGTCAATGGCAAGTATATGCAGTTCATTCAAATAGCGCGATAAATAATAAAAAAAATTTATTTTTTCTTCTGCGAACAGATGGTCGGCGAATCGAAAGGCGACACTTTCGCGGCCTTGAAAATGGGCATCGCGTTCAGCCTATTAATAGGCCTCGCGTTTTTCTTGTGCTGGCCGAGTCAATTGCTGATAAATTCGAGCAGCGACATTTTGGATCTGAGGTGAACACGTTCGAACGTTTCGATTTTATTGCTTAAGCTATCTGATGATTTTGTGTGTGCGCAGCTACGCGTGCAACTGGCACGAGTTTCCCGTGAAAGCGAGAAGACTGCTGCTGTTCGCGATGATGCGGAGCGCCGAGCCGTGTCGACTGATGGCCGGACCGATCGTTTTGAACTTCGAGCTCTTCAAATCGGTATATTATCTCGCGAATCGAAACATAAAAAAAAAAAAACAAAATGATCCTATTTTATCGTTCCCGCAAGATCGTCAACACGGTCATGTCTTACGTCATGGTCCTGATATCGTTGTACAATTGAGAGAGCAAAAAAAAAAACTACGCATCTTCGTTACCTTTTTCGTGCGGAAGAGAGCGAACAGCGTGAGAAGATTGCCCGGTATGCCTATGAGCATGAACAGGACGCAGCAGGCCGCGGCGAACGTCAGCAGCCAGGGCGGATAGTCCTTGAGGAGGTTGCTGCGATGATCGGCCTCGGTATAATGATGACCTCCGCCGAAGACCATCAGGCGACGTAGCAACAGCGACTGCTGCGGAAGATTCATCGATATATAGATTAAGGAATGTTGTATTAATTATTATTTAGTTTTTATCGAGTGACGAAAATAAAGTTATGGTCTTGATTGTTTTTTTTTCGTCGGCGGGGCGAGACAGAAGTTTATTAATCCTTCGCGTGACTTTTACTCCCCCCTGGGTCAATTTTTTTTTTCGACTAGACTTCTAATAGACCGTCAGCTGTGAACTGCCAATTAAGAGACGTCGTTTATTACATTTTTTTTCTTGGCCCCTCGAGGATGTAAAGGAGAACTTGACTTACATCGAATATCTATTGTTGCGATGTATACGCGTTCTATTATTAAATTTTTATTAGCCGTATATACTACTACTAACCGCGAGTAGAGGTAAATGCTTCTCGTTAAAATTTAATAGTCAAAAAACGTTCAAAGTGCGGTAATTCGAGCTTTGCAACTAAACTCTGTGAGTGTGTGTCTGTGTGTGCGTCTTTCAGATTTTTTCATATTTTTTTTTCTTATTTTCATTTGTAATAATATACTGCTTTTAGTCGCTATTTCCGAATATAATGAGTATGACCCGAAACGTGAAAAAATAATAAACAACGATACGAGCTTTGAAAATCATACATCCTATTTTCAGTGCTGAGGTATATGGCAAAAAAAAAAGCTCGTCGAAATTTTCCACGCAGCCTCCGACGCGAATTTTTTTTTGTTCAAAATGGATGAATTTTTACCGTATCTTCGCTTTCTGCCATGGTCTCCTATCTCGAAACGATTCTAGATTTCATTTCACTCGACGACGACGACGACGACGAGGCTGGTGGTAGCTGCGATCGAGCACCGTTGCTGCTGCACGTCGATCATTTCGCACGATCGTTTGCGCACTCGCGTCACGAACTTATCGTCGTGGTCCATCGAGTTGAGTCTCGTCGTCGACAACGCACAGGAGGTTGTGCATCCCCGATGAATTAACATTATTTAAATCAATAATAATAAACGACCAAAAACGATCGCACTAATTACACAGACGAACGAAACAAAAATCTCGATTTTTCCTTGGCATCGAAAGAGCAGAGATGACGAGACGATGTGCACCAGACGACGACTGCGAGGGACGCGTTTATGTACCACGCGCTCGCTCGAACCGGCTCGAGTTATTTCACTCGACTCGCGAGCATGAGTGAAAATCGCGCTATCCGCTGCTGCTACTGCTGCTGCTGCTGGACCGGAAGGTCGCGCCTGCGCTTCGAGACACGCCGCACTTCATCCTCGCGCGCGCGCTTATGTACAGCTTCGCGTGTTCTTCCGTATTTTCTTTTTCTCTCCATCCTCTCTCTCTGTTTTCGCTCGAACTACCGCCAACACCACCGCCACCGTCACCGCACTATGCTATGTGTATAAAAGGGGATGAAGGGGGGCGAAGAAATTCTTGCGGCTGATGATGCGTCTCGATGTGGAAAATTTTCTTCTCGCGCACATTTAAGGGGGTGGCACGCGAAAAGTAAATTTTTCGAGAGAAGAAATCTCAGCACTACGTGCGTTTTGTTTGAAGTAATTTCTCGAACAGTCGCGATTTAGGATGCAATCTTCTATACATTTATTATCGTTTGCGGAAAAAATTATATATTGTTTGCCTCTCGCAAACGCGAACGTGTGCGAGCGCGCCAATAAATTCATTGAGAGCTGATAAGCCCGATTTAATAGATAATGAACGAGAAGAGTCTAAAACCCCTTGATGTATCGCAACCGGATACTCCATGATGTAGCGCTGTACGCAGGCTTTATTATGGGTTTCATGTACTTTACGCGTAATCGATTTACTCGCGCACAGATGCTTTCGTTGATTTATTCCCAGAAAGTGACAAACGTAGACATAATTATAATTTAAAAATTAAATATTTCGAGCTTGGAGTACTAGCGATGCTTGAAATAAAATTTAATTTGCATTTCACCGGTTTTTTTTACCGGTTAACGTCGGCGCATAATTGTAACGAGCTTTAATCAACAGAGGCCGCGCCCTTAGCAAAGCATCGCCGTTGCAGCCGTACTATAGTAATGTCAACAATTAGGACATTAGTTCTCGATTTCTCGTAGAAATCGCAAATATCGATGGCAATTCTCTTCGTGCTGTTATATGCTTTATATTCTCAGAAAAATATAATTGAATATAGGTCATTTTGATTGAAAATTAAACTCTATTATAGAAAGAATAGTTTACAAAGTTTATGGAAAAGGAAAAATTCATGTTATTTTCTCTAATCAATTAGAAAATATTGATATTCCTATTTTGTTAATTCATGGCCGCTTGCCCTTCATTCGCTATATATGTAAAACTTTCATAAGTTCTAAAATTATTCATGGATGGTATAGTTACCTTATTGTTAAAAAAAATACACTATTTCATACTTCGAATTGTAAATAGTGGCGTTTGGCTCGATTAATCGAAATTTCGTCACTTACGTTTAAAATAACATCATTCAAACGATGCGAGTGAATTTTTCACAATATTTACTTTTCTTGTCAACGGGTCTACAATCGACTCGAGTGTATAGTTGGAACCGAGCTTGTAATCGATACATTAGCTTTATCTATTCGGTGCTAATTTGCCATCGACCCAATGGAAAAAAAAAGCTTAACACTTTTTGTACACAATGGACGTTTCCATCGGTGTTTTTTCCGCAAAATACATAACGAGCGGCAAAATATCACAAGGAAAAGATGTCAAAATTTATACATAGGCACACGAAGAAAGATGAATCATAAATATAATTTATTTACGCTTGATTTACTCGACGCATTGTTCCGTGGGTCTTGGCCTACGTGAGCACATTATTGCCTTAATGTTAATGAGCAATTAAAAATTATTTAATAATAGAGCAGAATTATGAAATTCGCGTTTGTGTATAACAATTGACGATGATAACCCGAGGGAGTCTATACAAGCTAATGTTAATCATTGTTTAATCGCAAATAAAAGATTTTTTAATCTTAATGTCTTTTCGCTTTTGGTGAAGTGAACCAGATTTTTGTATATAAAAAGACGGGCGCTCTTGGCTTAACCAGTCAGTTCGGCAACGAGTTCGAATATCTCTTGCATATTTCACTAAAAAAAAAATCACCATGAAAGCTTTCGTCTTTTTCGCCGTGTGCGCTTTCGTTTGCGTAAGTACACATAGATTCGCATTCGAAAGTTCGAATTTTCACGGAAAGTACCAATTTAAAAAAAAAAAAAAATCAATTTTTTAGGGAGCACAAGCTGGAGTACTCCAGCAGGACGACGACGTGGTGACCAGAAGCAGTTTGCTCCAAACTCAGCTCAAGGTCTTCATCGATTACGTCGACGCCAGTCTGAAGCCGGCCCTCTACAAGACTCTCGATGAGAGCAGCGAATTGACCAAGAAAATCGCCAACGCATCCGAGGAAGCGTCCGAAGCTAACAACAAGTTCACCTATGAAATCTTGGAAATCGTAAGGAAAATTTCTCATTCACCCTCGGGTTTTTATTCATTTCTGAGTTTTATTTTTTCAATAGGTCCGTCAAAATGAGAGAATCTACGAGGCTGCCAAGGGAATCGACGTACAGGAGTGCGGTGTAAAGACCATCGAAATGTCCGAACGCGTCGCCGAAGCCGTCGAAGCCGCCAACAAATGCGTCGCGGAGAAAGCCGAGAAATTCGCGAAGAAACCCGCGGAGGTCGGACAGAAAATTAAGGAAATCGTCAAGCTCATCGACGACAATACCCTCGTGGCCAAGAAATGCGTCGACGAGCACACTTTCCTCACATCGTTGAACACCGCCGCCTGTTTGACCAGAGTAAGATGAAATAAAATTATTCGGTTATTTCCCAAACGATGAATTATTCGTTAACTCATGAATTTTGTTTGTTTGTTTTTTTTGTAAAGGCTAAAGTCAGCTCCGACGCAGCTTGGGCATCCGCTCCTGGAAACTTGAAAATCATGTCCCTCAACATGGAATTCGACAACTTGGTCAAGGACATGAAGGCTTGCGCCGCCCCGAAAGTCTTCGACGCTCTCAGAGCCGAAGCTAGACAATTGACCGCCGAAGCCAAGGATTGCATCTACGAAAAAGTTCTCGAGCAAGTGAAGGCTTCCGAGCAGGTCACAGTTCCCCAAGTCGAGGAAATGGAGCCAGTGGAAGGAGTCGAGGAAGCTCCGAAACCTCAAGTAGAATAAACGATATATACGTCGTGAATTGCGTTGAACCATGACCAAGCACGCATATATTGTATAACCGATCGCGGATGACTGTAATGTAATTTTTTATGCTCTCCGAGTGCCAATTGTATTTTTCAATTAACTTTGATTGACTAAACTAATGTAATTTGTAAATAAAAGTTATGACATAAATTTATACATCAAACTAATTTTTCATTTATTAAAACGTCGAAACCCCCCAATTACAAATGTCTGAATGATTTTATTAATAAAAAAAAGTGTTATATCATACGTGAGCAAATCAACGTATCAGCACTCGTCTCAAGTACGAAGATAATATATTCAAGTAGCGGTCTAAATTTAATAAAGTAAAAATTGGCATGACCATCAAAATTTATTGTTTACTTGTTGTATCACGAAAAATATTACCAGTGACTAACTTTTAACATTAAGCTTTGATAATTTTTGTTCTTTCACATAAACCTAATTTTAAGCGAAAATAATGGTGGCGGCCATGTAGCGAAATATAATATTAAAACTTTGCCGATTCTCTTTTAGTTTTCGAGGATTCAGTCGTACGCCATCTAGCCGTAGGTTATAAACTATAAATGAATACGTAACAGAAACTTACGTGTAGCATATTGCATTTTTGTAAATTCGTTTAGTATAGTCTTTATGAGAAATATTTAGACTTTTATAGTTAAAAAATATGATTCAAATTATAATTTTAGACTAAAAAGGTCTGGTAGAAAATGAGTGAAGTGATATGCTCAAAGTAAAATTAAATTCTTAATATCTTTTGAATTTTTTTGTTTTTCTAGTTTATTGGCAAGATTTTTAAAAATCTATCAGTTACCTAAATTATTGTAACCAAAAATTGCAGATAAATTATATTTCGATGAGGAAGCTAGTCAACAATCAACTAGCAGCAGTTTTTTTCTCAATGAAGTATACATCATTACAAAGGTCTCTTTTCGACAAGTAATTTAAAAAAATGTTTTCAACGATTTTTTGAGCTCTGTGCTTCATTTTGAAAATACTTATTTAATCATACACCATACTCCTTCGCTCTTTTTTAATTTTAATACTATGAAGGGCTAATTTATCATGTGATGCTTTACACAAATGACTTTGATGTGGTCTAATTCAATGAATAAAGTCCGACTAACAAATTTCTCGCATTGGGTAATGCTAATTTTATCGGTATTTTTTATTTGACTATAGATTTGTTAGTTACTCAAAAATTACAATAATCAAGTATCTTATTGAAAAAAGTCAGGATCGAGCATCCTTAATTGAAACGCAAAATGTGGATTGGTGAATGTAACACCATCTCATGACACGCATTTAATTCAAGTATCTCCGATTTTATATTTTGCAATAGCTCCAACCGACTCATTTCGTTAGATAACAATTACTTTTCGGTAACTGTGAAGTACGAGTAACATTTATCACGACACCCGATCAATGTCTCTGAACCGCTTTCGATATTGAATCATCTTTTATGGTATACATTTTAGCATGACTCTGTCAATTTACTGCACTAATATCTCAAAAATGTAGAGTGCAGACAATGAAAAAGTCGACGTATCACATTTAAAAATTAATACGTATCGAGTGTCGGCTAAAACAGACCGATAATCTAATCGATAAAAGTGCTCGTCACTTATTTTTTTCAATTGTTAACGAATACAAAATTTGACTATAAAAGGTAGATGATTAGCTTCGTTCAATCACAGTAGCCAACAAACAATTGCAATCATGAAGTCCGTTATTGCCTTAGC